TTCTTGTCTTTCTCCCGTCAAAAACAAAGCACTGTCACTCGGCGCCCCTACAGGCCTGGAAGCTCACTCATTTCTTCATCACCACTGTTGGAGTTATTTCTTTTCTTTCATTGGATTATAGACTTCTGCGTGTTGTTTTTTTTTTTAAGTTGTGCCATTCCTGTATTCGTAAAAATATTGTTTCCTTAGCGTTATTGACGACACGATGGCACAGTGCCCCCCCAGGAGAAAGGCTTTATTGCAATGAGAATGATCAATTTAAGGGTTGAACTGATGTTGATTTGGGTAAAAATGTATTACACTTCACTTTTTTACCCACCCTGAAATCGCAGCAGGCCAGGTTCATCACATGAGGTAAGAAAAGCTCATCAGATCTGACTCCAGGTGTCCAAGAACATCTCGTTTCTGTATATCTCCTCTGTTGATCCTCCTCTTTCAGACCTGATGATCTGATGCAGTCTGACTCCCTCCCTCTTCCTGTGTAGAGTCTGTGTAGATGCTTCTTTTCTGCAGCAGAAATGCAAATCAGCGGCTGTTGCTGGAGGTAAAATTAGCATCTTTAATTAAAAAATTAGCAGCAAACAAACAATACAAAACATACGAACCATTAAAGGAAAAACAACCTGGAGCAGCAGCAGAGGAATCTTTTTATCCAACTTCCACTGGATTTAATTATCAAACATGAATTAATGTGAGGGCACACAAACACACATCACAAATATGTGTCTATGCAGGTCTACTGGGGAGTAATTAATAACCAATATTTTCACATCAAATACTGACTTTGATCCAGCAAACACTGATCTATCGACAGGGGAGAGCAGCAGCTCCGAACCGAACTTTGTAAAGAAAAAAAAAAAGGGTTTCATTAATTTTTTTATTGGTTTATTATCATAAATTTATAGATTAACTTCAAACAAAACAAAGTCTAGTGTTTGAGCCCTGAGCCATCACTTTAATATGACTCTCAGAGGATGTCTGATGAAGAAGGACAAAGTAAAACAACACCTCTAACAATTTTGAGAGGAAAACATGCTGCACCTTCTCCAATCCACGTCGACTGTTTTTTTTGTTTTTTAACTTTGGTCCCTTTGAATGCTCAGGTTTTAGTATTTACGTCATTAGCTTGTTTATTGTGCTTTTTCTGATGATATGAGTCGTGCCAATTGGATCTCCTACAAGAGGACAGGGTTTTCTGAAGCTTAATAGACAAACACTTAGCACCATCTAGTGGACGATTGTTAGACTTGAAGCGTCTCAGCAGGGACCCCTGGTTTAAAACGAGGGCAGTTCATCTCTCCTCCCTCGCTTCATTCAGTTCCTCACTTTTCAGCCCCTCCTACTAAGAAAAGAAAAACAAGACAAACCGGTTTCTCTGTCTCAGCTGAACAGTCAAAGTTATGAAAGTGAAGTTTGTGTTGTTGATACAGAAAACTTGTTTCAGCCTCAGTGTTTTTATAGGAGTCAAACAAGAGATTAATGAGGCGTTGGGTTAATAAGCAGAAACAACCAACGAATTAAGTCTTATATGTTCTCCTCCCTGGTTGTGATGGATAAGGTCCATCATTTTTTCAAAAGGAACCATCACAAGTGAACAAGTTAGAGTCAAGCCCTGGGTAAAGTATAATAATGTTGATGCCATGTTCTGTCTAACTTTTTTCACATGTTCTCCTGAGTTGAAAACGTAAAGAGCACAAAAAAACTTTAGGGGCACAATAAAAATCAATCAAATAATGTTTGTCTCATTGTCTGACCTTAGTACTGTTATTTAAAATCAATTTTAGGTCTTTTGGTCACATGACATGGAAGCTATTAAAGGAAAACAGCCTTTTCTGAGAACATCAACTGGTAATTTATTGACGGTCCCTTATTCAACACCGACATTGACAGCGAGGGTGTTGAGTAGATTTAACCGCGATGTTGTTCTTATTCCCGGTTATGGAGAGTGAGAAGACACCGGTAGATCCTCAGAGAATGTCCGTCAGATATCCAACCTAAAACTAACTTCACCGCCGTATTTACATTTAAAAAACATTTGTTGCCTCGGCTGATTTTTTTTATGCGCACGTGACCCTAAATAAATTTTACAATTCGCACACATCTATTTTTAGTCGCAAATGCAAGTGAAATGGTCACACTGAGCCCTGACTTAACCTTTCTCTCATAATTTCCTTCCTCTCCAAATTTCCTTTCTCTCAAAATTTTGAGTAAAAGAGTTAGTTAAAAAGAAAAAAGACTTTTTTTTGGCCCTTTTCCTCTTCCATACAGTTCTCCTATTTTGTTGCCTGCACTTGTCTTCGGAGTTATTCTGGTGGATATTTCTTTCTTGATTTTTTTGGATTGTTGTAAAATTTGTCATATTAATTCGAAGAACACTAAAAACATCTTGCAACAATTCTGAATTATTTTGGATGATTTTTACTTCAAAAGTCTGTTTACTCCAAGGGCTCTATTTTCGTGCCTTACCGGCAACGTGTCGTAGGTGCAACATAAGTCAGGTCTGCTGCACCAATAAGGCATGCCCAAGCACATTTTGGTATTTTGGTGAGCGGCGCAGCCCGGCATAAGTATCCCCCCTTCCTAAATCAGCTCCTCCCAGTGGCATAAGTTGTAGAGAGGGAGGGGATAAGGCATGGAGTGGGTTTAACACAGCTGAGACCTGTTCATTAATCATATCAGCTCCTCTCCTCACTAAATCCGCCACCGGCGAGGGGTATTACAATTTTCGTGAAGTAGTCGAAGAGATCAAGAGATGTCTGAAGACAGTAATGCCACACGATAGCGACAGAAGGCAGCCCCTCAACAAGTGTCGCTGTAAGCGCTGTAGTGGGCGTCCTCCACACTCTCTCATATAAGCACAGATGGATTTGGTGTGTGTAATGTTGGACCCACTGGTAACACAAACACCCTTTTACACAAATAAAGACACTCACATAAAGTTCCATATATTCAAACCTCACGTGACAAAGGTGGGTTGTGCGCACAGATCACAACATAAACTCCAAAAATGGCATTAAAATCGGAACCATCTGTGCGTAAATGACGCATCGCGCTCCGTGGCCTGGCTCTTTCTTTCATAGATGTTGGCATGTAAAATAAATTTGGCTCACAAAACCGAATATCATAATATCCGCATGTCGGCTTAAAGTAAATAACGCATCTGAGCACTGAAACAAATCATCTGTTCAGCCGCTGCAGCAGGACAAGGAGAGGACACAGAGACATGTCCAGGTCGAGCTGCACAAGAAATAAAAGAAAGAGGAAGAAAGAAAAGGAGGGAGACAAATTTAATATCTTGTTCACCTCATCATGTGTGTCTATTTACTAGATATTTAAGTTAATTTAATGCGGTTTCAGGTGTGTTAATTTGGTCAGGTTGAGTGTCCAAACGCGCTCATCAGATCAGATATAGATCTATAGATCTAAATGTATGTGCTGACTCAGAATATTGGTTGTTATTGATTATTTATTGCACTGAAATGTACCTGAAACTGTGGAAACCTGTTGGTGATGCATCACTGACGTATGCGCACTACTCCGTCGGTCTACCAAAATACCACTTGACAAGCTGCGCTCCATCTGCGCTGAAAGCTGACCAGGTTCGAATTGGTGAACCTTTAGCGCACTTTCCACGCTGCCGGCGAGCACAAAAATATCACTGCGCGAGCTGACTCTGTCGACACCTCCCCCGGCCACGCCACCACGCCCAGCTTGGCAGACTTCGGTGCGCCTCAGTCCACGAAAATACCAATACCGAAATACCGGGCTCTACCAGACGAAAATAACACTGCATGGGGTCCCTCCGCTATGCCGCTGGCGGGCACAAAAATAGAGCCATTAGTGTGAAAATGACACCTTGGATGGTGAGATTTCCTGATTTCCATTCGACACACAGAGCTTTAAGGTTTTACACCACCTTTAATTAAAATCAACTAATGAAGAGCAAAGTTAAGACATGAAAACACTGTGGGGGGACAAAAATATAGGTAAAGGAGTTAAAAAATAAATAAGTAAAAGGATGGTTTAAAATACTTTGGGTCTGGACTACACAAGAAGAGACCTGCAGGAATGAGAGGCTGTGTACCAGCATGCTACCAGCGAGGTTTTGTGTGGATATAATGACAATATTTTTTATCCTGTTAGGCAGTAAAAGGTTAATCAATGTTAATCAATCACACCTCTATCAGTCAATCCTGCATGAGTCAGCGCCCTTTTGAACCCAGACACGCCCTGGTTTGGGCCAAAGGTTGTTCTGGTTTTGAAGTCGTGATCTCAAACACTCACTCCGAGAAGCGCAGCGAGGATTTGTGAACATTTCCCTGAAGTTTTACCTGGAGTGAAATCAGCAGGTAAGAGTTCATCAGGGTTTGACCGCTCACAGTATCTGTTCAACCCTTCAGATTTTCTCCATGTTAGATTCTTTCTGAGCCAAAAGAGAATGATGTGAGTAAAGCTTAAAAGCTAAATGGAGAAACTGGAGGTGCACGACAAAAGGCACGGTGCCTTCGAGTCTATTAATGTAGACACATTTACAGTAAAATCAGATGAAATCTCTAAAGGTAAACAAGAAGAACAGGAAGAGACAGCCATGATCTGCTAAGACAGTCTGAAGATCTGAGTTTTCACATCTCTATGTGAGCCTCAAATTACTGTAAAAATTATTTCTAAGTCTTATTCTACTGTATGTATGTTGCTGATCTTTAAATGGTCTTAAACGAAGTTGGCACGAAGAGTTCTGGGTCCTTTTCCTTCAGTTTGGACTTTCTTGTTATAAACAGCGAACACATTCGTTAAGGAAGTGAGTCATAAATAGTTTATTTCCGTGTTGATCCTCCTAGTGCTTTCTTAATCTCACGTATTTGATTATAAATCAGATTACTGAGGATTTTTTCTGTAAAGTTGGAGACATTTTTCACTTATTGTCAAATATAAGAAAGAGGGCTGAGGACTCTGTGGAGACCATGTCATAACCTGGTCTCTCTGCAGATTCGAGCTCTGTGATGGATCAGTGTGAGGACAGGAAGGAGGCAGACCCTCCCTCAAAGGTCACTCTGGACTTGGAATCGGCTCAGAGGTACAATGAAGATCTCTCTTCTCTATTTTGAAGAAAAACCTTTTTATTCACATTCACTCCTCTGTGTGTTTGTTGTTGTAGGTTGGAGCAGCAGCACAAACCGGATCCTCTTGAACCTGGACCTGACACTGAATGTGTGTCCCTGAAGACAACCCGGTCCATGACTCCACCCCCGGATTTTAAGAAGTAAGTCTACAGACTCTCAGAGTGGAGTTTTAACATAAACAGCCATCCAGGCACCTCTGAAGCAGCAGACTGTGAGGCAACATTAGGGAAAAGCCAAACAGACTTCATTTCAGTCTTTACACTGTGCTCTGACTGCTAACAGGTGTTATGTTTTTGACAAAGAAGGCTGAAGACCTGATCACACCAAGAAATCTGAGTTTAGCAAACATTACATTTGGAGAGTTATTCTGAAATTATGTCAGGCGATCTTTTCATTTCATTTTATAATTTTTGTCGAACATGTGCGTGCAACACCAAAAGTCTGAAAACAAACATAACCAGTGAAAATATTCAAAACAACAATAAAAATAATCAAAGCAAAAAAGTAAAAATTAATGAAGCATTATGTTTTTTTTTAAACCTATCCCTTCTCCTTTACTCAATAATATCAGTCAGTCTGTAACAAAATTAGGTCCTTGTTTTGTTACATGTTGCACTAAACTTTGCACATCTGGTTTAATAAAACCCTTTGTCAAGCTTAAACTTGTTCTTTAATCAGTTTATTTTTTAAACAGGATGCAGCAGCTGAGACCGCCAGACGCTCCAGAACCAAGTCTTGTGTCCATGAAAAGTGACATGTCTAAGCCTGATGCTCTGAACTTTGGAAATAGAGAGTAAGAATAAAATTTTAAATGTTTTGTTGAGTCACTTTTGGAAAAGAAGGAAGTTTACCTTTGTAAACAGTTTTCTGGGCTCTTCTCTATCAAGCAATTTCACTAATCCAAGCGCTCATCTCAGATTGAGTCTACGCTCGAACAAGAATCTTTTTCAGCACTGTTTCCTGCCATCAGAAAAACTGAAAACTGAACCAAAGAGACAAAAAAAAAAATAAAACCAAACAAATAAATAAGTAATTCAGACCATAGACTGTATGTAGAATGGACGCCGTCTGCCTCCTCGATAGCTGAAGCCTCCGCGAGAACAGCACCCTCTGGTGACGGGCTACAGTATAGGTCATAAATCCCGCCTCCTTATGGAGCTGTGGACAAACTTAATAAATGAATGACACAGAATATAAATGTTTCTCCTCCCTGGTTGTGATGTTGACATGTAGTTATTGTAAGACTGGTTTGTGTTCAGCTCCATTTTTAAAAGTTATTAGGGGGTTCATGTTTTCTATGATTGAAACCTGATACAGCCTATGGGTGTACGAAGATTGCGTAGCTCACCCGGGGGATATGCTGTTTGAGCCGAGCATCATCATGGCGACCCTCCCGCCAAATACGTACAACGCTTCTGCGCAAGTGGTGGTTGCAGGAAGTGGAGTAAAACCGGGAAATACAGAGAGCAATTCAGCTTCAAATTCATATAATGACGGAAGGTGAAACAAAGTCATCCATAGTATATATAGACTATGTTCTAACCGCACTGATAATGGGGCCTTGATGGTCATTGGAAAGTTTCAGGAACCTAGATTGCAAAAGCCGGTGCTTGGCCTGCTTCTTAATTAAATAATTGTATAAATACACATATAAATACCCACCACCTTAGCTCGTGAGTCAAAAAAATCCTTTCCTGCTCCAAATCCTGTTCCAGCAGCTCCTGACATTTGGCCTTTCTTTGACACTTAAACATGAATATTCCTCCACAGAGTTCAGCAGGACAACCCAGAGGTCCCCAGAGATCAGTGCACCCAGCAGCAGCCTGCAGACCTGGACTCTGTATTTATGGTGTGTACGCATGATCAAAATGACAGTATCTATATCAGCATAGCTATCATCAGAGTGGAAGGAACACTAAAAACATGAACTCAAATGTCATTTAGCCAAGGTGCATCACAGTTTGTTCCTCAGACTACAACACTGTCGGAGTTTTATAAACGAGAGCGGCACATTTTAGAGATAAGATCTACTAAGTGTGTATGGACACACTTAGTAACAGTGTTGGTGTTATCGATCTGTTCCAGCTGCTGGAGGACAACATCATCACTTTTGTGAAGAAGGAGCTGAAAAGAGTCCAGATGGTCCTGTCATCAGATCACCAACAGAGAAAGAGCGAGGAAGAGGAGGAGCTGGAGGAAGAGCAGATGAGGGTCAGCAGAGAGGCATTTGAGAAGATTGTTCTGCACTTCCTGAGGAGACTGAAGCGGGAAGATCTGGCTGACTGTCTGCAGAGCCGTGAGTGTTTCTAACTGCAGATAAACTCGTGATCTTCTGAGCAGTGTTGGTCAAGTTACTTTATATGAGTTACTAAGTTACAGTTACTAGTTACTTCTTTCAAAAGTTACTCAGTTACTTATAGTTACTCTTTACTTTTAAGGTAACTAGTTCTTAGGAAAAGTAACTTTGTTTTTTCTCTAAATTCTCTCATTAATGTATTGCCTACCTTACACTCTAAAAACTCTTGGGTTATTTCTTCAGCCCAATTCTTGGGTTATACGTGTTGAGTTAAATTTCTGGGTTATTTTTCAGATCCATCCCCATTTCTTGGGTCATATGGATTCTATTGTAACCCAGTTTGAGGGTTTTTTGAATGGGTTAATAATTATGGGTTATTTAGCTTCCCCAGTATGTATTGGGTGGCTGGGGGTAGCTCAGCAGGTTGAGTATCCAGTTCCCAGCCAGGGGGTTGCGCATGAGACACCTCTGTCAGGAGCGAAGTACATCTTTCTGTGTGGGTAATTAGGCAAGACCCTTAGCACTATGACCTACCTCATAAACATGAGTGTGTTACGACTGAAAGCCCAAACAGCTCAGACGGTACAGGTTGTAAAAGCAAAGTTTCCAAAAAAAACTCCCCAATTGCATGTATCAATTTAATCCAAGATCATGAGTCAAATTAACTCAAAGATTGGGTTTACTTGACCCTTAAAAAGAGTTATTGAGTCAACCCAAAATTTGGGTTAATTTGAATAGCCTAATAAGTAGTCAGGACCCAATAAGTACTCAGTCCCATCAGCCATCTGGGTCATGTGGTCCCAGGTGTGAATGTTTGTGGAGTTTCCTGGGGAGAGAGCTGAGAACTGCATTGTAAGTGCCGGAGAGGTTGTGCCTGAGTCCACCCCCTCTGTTCAGAGAAGGTTTCTCCAGCCTGGTAAAGATGGCTTCTTTAACTCCTCTTTCAAACCATCTGTCTTCTCTAGCCAACAGCTGTACATTGCTGTCCTCGAAAGAGTGACCCGTATCCTTCAAATGAAGGTGGACAGCTGAGTCCTGACCTGAGGAAGTGGCTCTCCTGTGTTGAGCCATGCGCTTGTGAAGCGGTTGCTTAGTTTCCCCAATGTACAGGTCTGAGCATTCCTCGCTGCCCTGGACAGCATACACAACATTACACGATACTGAATAACGCGTTGGTCCCAACTCTGCTCCTGAGTGTTTGCTAAGCATGAGAAATAATCTGACATTTATTTTCAGAGGATCCTCTTTTTGATTTTATTTTTGTTTATTCAGGTACTGATGCAGCAGGATCTGCAGACTGCAGACAGAAAGTCAAGTCAAACCTGAGGGACAGGTTTAGGTGTGTGTTTGAGGGAATCGCTAAAGCAGGAAACCCAACCCTCCTTAATCAGATCTACACAGAACTACACATCACAGAGGGAGGGACCGGAGAGGTCAATGTGGAGCATGAGATCAGACAGATAGAGACAGCATCCAGGAAAATAGAGAGACCTGAGAATGTAATCACACCTGAGGACATCTTCAAACCCTCACCAAGACGAGAGGAACCAATCAGAACAACAATGACCAAAGGAGTGGCTGGGATTGGGAAGACAGTCTTAACACAGAAGTTCACTCTGGACTGGGCTGAAGACAAAGCCAACCAAGACGTCCACTTCATGTTTCCGTTCACTTTCCGAGAGCTGAATGCGCTGTCAGGAAAAAAGTTAGGTTTGGTGGAACTAATTCATGATTTCTTTTTTGAAACCAAAGAAGCAGGAATCTGCAGGTTTGAAGAGTTCCAGGTTGTGTTCATCTTTGACGGCTTGGATGAGTGCAGACTTCCTCTTGATTTCAGCAACAATGAGATCGTGACAGATGTTACAAAGCGCACCTCAGTGGATGTGCTGCTGACGAACCTCATCAGGGGAAAACTGCTTCCTTCTGCTCGAATCTGGATTACCACACGACCGGCTGCAGCCGATCAGATCCCTCCTGAGTGTGTTGACAGGGTCACTGAGATCAGAGGGTTCACTGACTCTCAGAAGGAGGAGTACTTCAGGAAGAGATTCAGAGATGAGGAGCAGGCCAGCACAATCATCTCCCACATCAAGACATCCCGAAGCCTCTACATCATGTGCCACATCCCGGTCTTCTGCTGGATCACAGCTACAGTTCTTCAGGGTATGTTGAAAACCAAGAAGCCTGGGGAGCTGCCCAAGACCCTGACTGAGATGTACATCCATTTCCTGATGGTTCAGTCCAAAGTGAAGAACATTAAGTATGATGGAGGAGCTGAGACTGATCCAGGCTGGAGCCAAGACTACGAGGAGATGATTGAGTCTTTGGGAAAACTGGCTTTTGAGCAGCTGCAGAAAGGGAACCTGATCTTCTATGACTCAGACCTGAAAGAGTGTGGCATCGATATCAGTGCAGCCTCGGTGTACTCAGGAGTCTTCACACAGGTCTTTAAAGAGGAGAGAGGACTCTACCAGGAGAAGGTGTTCTGCTTTGTCCATCTGAGCGTTCAGGAGTTCCTGGCTGCTCTCCATGTCCATCTGACCTTCGCCAACTCTAACGTCAACCTGCTGTCAGATGAAAAACCAACACGGTGGTTTCCTGAACTTTATGAAAGCAAATCAACACGGTTTTATCAGAGTGCTGTGGACAAGGCCTTAGGAAGTCCAAATGGACACCTGGATTTGTTCCTTCGCTTTCTCCTTGGTCTTTCCTTGGAGACCAATCAGAAACACCTAAGGCCTCAGCTTATACAGGCAGGAAGTAGGCCTCAGACCCAAAAGAAGACAGTCCATTACATTAAGAAGAAGATCCTTGAATGTCTGTCTGCAGAGAAAAGCATCAACCTGTTCCACTGTCTGAATGAACTCAATGACGCTTCTCTAGTGGAGGAGATCCAACGATATCTGAGTTCTGGTCCCCTTTTGACAGGTAAACTTTCATCTGTTCAGTGGTCAGCTCTGGTCTTCGTCTTGCTGTCTCCAGAAAGGAAACTGGACGTGTTTGACCTACAAAAATATGGTGCTTCAGAGACAGCCCTCCTTTGGCTGCTGCCAGTGGTGAAAGCCTCCAGCAAAGCTTTGTATGTGCACACATAACCATCCAGATCAAACTCATGATTTAGTTAAGTATTTCCTGTAACTCGGACCTCAGACAGTCTTTCATTCCAACCTAGACAGATTTCACCTGCAGACACCTTCCTCAGAAGAGCCATGTCGTGTTGTGTTTAACTTTGTCATTTGATTCATAAGGGTTAAGTCGATCTACCTTTAGTGGCAGGATGTCCTCAGTGTCCCAAAAGTCTTACGACAGCAACCCAGGTATGTGACATGTGGGCCCCCTCATCTCTGCATGCACATGTGCAAAACAAAAAACAAAAAGGGGTCAAGAAAACTTAACATCTCAGATCACCACAAGACAGAAAACCATGTCATGCACTGGGAAGATACCGTGGTCGTTCACTCAGAGAGCAACAGCTGCCAACTTGGATAAGTGAGGCAATAGAGATTACAAAGCAAGCTAAGATAAGGCGGGCCTTCATGCTGCTACATACCTGCTGTCCTTACAGACCCCATGGGAATTAATGCCCTGCCGCTTCAGCCTGGGTGACTAAACCTCTTTAAATCAGTGATCAGACATCATTCATGACACATCTGACTCTTCTGAGGAAGACCACAGAAAGTTTGTAGATGAAATGTTTCAAGTAGAAAGAAAAAAACACAAGAAATATTTAACTGCAGAATAAAGTTACAACAACAACAACAAAAAAACTTTTTGGCCTGTACATGTTTTATTTTATTTTATTTTACAAATTCCTCTGTGTTTCTTGCACCTGTTAAGGCTGAGTCACTGTGACCTGTCACCAAAGAGCTGTTCAGCCCTGTCCTCAGTTATCAGCTCTGACTCCTCCAACCTTGATGAGCTGGACTTAAGTTACAATAATCTGGGGGACCTAGGAGTGGGGCGCCTGACTGCTGGACTGCAGACTCCACAGTGCAAACTGGAAATTCTCAGGTAAGTGATAGACCATTAAATATGATGAATGTACAAATGTGCATATGTATGAATGTACTTTTTGATTTATGTGTTGATAATTGAAGGGATTTGCTGAAATGTTTTTCAGGGTCAGCTGTTGTCAACTGTCTGAGACAAGCTGTTACTTTCTGTCTGCAGTTTTAAGCTCTCAGTCCTCTAATCTACGAGAGCTTAACCTGAGCAAAAACGACCTGCAAGATTCAGGGGTGAAGATGCTCTCAGCTGGACTGTGTAGTCCCCACTGCACACTGGAAACTCTCTGGTCCGTTGTTTGTGATCATCTTGAATTTAAAGCTTTTTTTACACATATAAATGTTGAATTAACTGACCTTTCTCTTTCTAGGTTGAGTGACTGTAAACTATCAGCAAGAAGCTGTGAAGCTCTCTGCTCAGTTCTCAGCTGCCAGTCCTCTAGTCTAAGAGAGCTGAACCTGAGTAACAATGACGTGCTTGACTCAGGAATGAAGCTGCTGTCTGCTGGACTGGAGAGTCCTGACTGTATCCTGGAAACTCTCAGGTCAGTGATCACTTGGTTTTAGGAGGCCTTTAATGACAGATTACTTAAAACAAAAGAGGACAGGACTTTGGCACAGACTCTGTGCAGTAGGATACATTAATGACCTCCACAGACCACATGAGACCCCACATACCATAGTCTGGTTAACCGGGACCTTATTGGCATTGACTCACATCCCTGAATCCAAGTATTGAAAGAGGGATGTCTTTTTCAGCACAAGCTTTGTGATGCCAAAAGCCTAAAACAAACAGGATCCATATTAAGCGTGTTCCGTCAGCATCGCGTATCATGCAGAAATAGGTTCCCATTCTGATCACTGCAGCATCGCACAGAGGACGCATATCAGCTCCATCCCAGAAGCGTGTCGAGCATGGCTCTGCTAAAGATAGTCGCCGAGTCTATTTTCTCTGCTCTACACTTCCAACATGCGTCAATGTACACAGGGAAGATCATTCTAGACAGGATATCAAGCACGAAAACTGCGCATATCATCTGGTATTTCAAAATAAAACACCATATGTGAACTCCCGACTGTGTATCAGTTGGTGTAGATGAGAAATCCTTTCTGGTTCTGGATTTATCAGTAACTCAGAACAATCTGATGGTCAATCCCTGATCCATGTGGACCCCAACAGGACTTTGAACTGCTAACTCTGTCTGAAGGTAACAGCACAGCAGAAAGGAACAAAGTTTACTTTATTAAACACCAGCAAACCTGCAAAAAAAACAAAACTTTAAAATCACGTTGCTTTTTCACAGACAGTAGAGGCTCAACGGTCACTGAATTATATTCAAATTATCAGAAAATTGGCCACAGAAAGGAAAAACAACCTGTTGTGAGCATGTTGTTTCCTCTAGACTGAGCCAAGCTGACCAGGGCTGAACTATGCTGCTTCTACGTTCCGAATACGCTGATCCTGTATGAGACAGACAGCACTGCTCAACGGAGCAGAGACGCAAGACTGATGGAACATGCTCAACACGGATCCTGTATGTTTTCAGCTTAACAGTGACTAAACACACCTTCACATTGTTGCTGAAATCTACTTTTTGGATTGTGTGTTGATAATCAAAGGGATTTGCTGAAATGTTTTTCAGGGTCAGCGGTTGTCAACTGTCTGAGAGAAGCTGTGACTTTCTGTCTTTAGTTTTAAGCTCTCAGTCCTCTAATCTAAGAGAGCTTGACCTGAGCAAAAACGACCTGCAAGATTTAGGGGTGATGGTGCTCTCAGCTGGACTGTGTAGTCCCCACTGCACACTGGAAACTCTCTGGTCTGTTGTTCGTGATCATCTTGAATTTAAAGCTTTTTTTACACATATAAATGTTGAATTAACTGACCTTTTTCTTTCTAGGTTGAGTGACTGTAAACTATCAGCAAGAAGCTGTGAAGCTCTCTCCTCAGTTCTCAGCTGCCAGTCCTCTAGTCTAAGAGAGCTGAACCTGAGTAACAATGACGTGCTTGACTCAGGAGTGAAGCTGCTGTCTGCTGGACTGGAGAGTCCTGACTGTATCCTGGAAACTCTCAGGTCAGCGATCACTTGGTTTTGGGAGGCCTTTAATGACAGATTACTTAAAACTAAAGAGGACAGGACTTTAGCACAGCCTCTGTGCAGTAGAATACATCAATTATCTCCACAGACCACATGAGATCCCACATACCATAGTCTGGTTAACCGGGACCTTATTGGCATTGACCCACATCCCTGAATCCAAGTTTCGAAAGAGGGATGTCTTTTTCAGCACAAGCTTTGTGATGCCAAAAGCCTAAAACATACAGGATCCGTATTAACCACGTTCTGTCAGCGTTGCGTATCATGCAGAAATAGGTTCCCATTCTGATCACTGCAGCATTGCACAGAGGACGCATATCAGCTCCGTCCCAGAAGCATGTTGAGCATGGCTCTGCTAAAGATACTCGCCGAGTCTATTTTCTCTGCTCCACACTTCCAACATGCCTCAATGTACACAGGGAAGATCATTCTAGACAGGATATCAAGCACGAAAACTGCGCATATCATCCGGTATTTCAAAATAAAACACCATATGTGAACTCCCGACTGTGTATCAGTTGGTGTACCTCCTCCCCTCTCTGCTTTCCAAACTGACCCCCCCCCCCTTCACATTGTACTGTGACGCTGCACATTTTATTTCATATTTTATTCTATTTTTTATAACTCCACTTATAGCGGGGCGGATAATAGCATATTACAGGAGAATTGTTCACTTGCGGATAAAAGCACCAAAATTGGTACACATACTCCTTAGGAGTTGCGCTTTTGATATTTCCGTCTGGCCAAATGAAAATTCAAGATGGCGGCCATTTTTCAAGATGGCCACCATTGAAAATACAGTAATATTGCATTTTGCAATAAAATCCCATAGACTTGTCCTATTTGGATGACCTTGGTGTCAAATCATACATTTTCCACTATGCAGAATCCAAATTTGGACCCATGGACTTACTTACTGGCTTCCTTGTACCATATTTCAGTCCCGGAATCCTAATATTCTGGTATTTATGAGGTTTACATTATGTCCGACTTCTGGATTAATCAGTAACACAGAACAATCCGATGGTCAATCCCTGATCCATGTGGACCCCAACAGGACTTTGAACTGCTAACTCTATCTGAAGGTAACAGCATAAAGGAACACAGTTTACTTGATTAAACATCAGTAAACCTGCAGAAACTGAAACTTTAAAATCACGTTGCTTTTTCACAGACAGTAGAGGCTCAACGGTCACTGAATTATATCTAAATTATCAGAAAATCGACCACAGAAAGGGAAAACAACCTGTTGTGAGCATGTTGTTTCCTTTATACTGAGCCCAGCTAACCGGGGCTGCACTACGCTGCTGCTACGCTCCAAATACCCTGATCCTGTATGAGACAGACAGCGCTGCTCAACGGAGCAGAGACGCAAGACTGACGGAACACACTCAACACAGATCCTGTATGTTTTCGGCTTAACAGTGAATAAACACACCTTCACATTGTTGCTGGAAGCTTGGCACCTCACCACATTGGCTGCTGTTTTCAACCTTTAACACCTTCTGTAGAAAAGTTTTTTCTTGGTGAGCGGTGCCATATCGCTGCTCACACAGAATCCCTCTGATGGGATTTGGTGACAGCAAGTGCATAAGTGTAAGTTTCAGGTTGTACTGTCCATGCTGTGAACTTGCATTGAAACTGAACGGTGTTCTTAATAATACAGCTTTGATCAAGCCATTAATCAGGAATCACAGAAAAATGAAAACCAAACAGCCACTGTGAGCACAGCTTCACAGGTCTGGTGGATAAACACTTAGGTTTTGCAGTAATGGTACAAATATCTCTCTTTCTCACTGTTTTTAGTCTGTCAGGCTGTCTGATCTCAGACGAAGGCTGTATTTCTGTGGCTTCAGCTCTAAACTCCAACCCCTCCCATCTAAGAAAGTTGGACCTGAGCTACAACCATCCACAAGACTCAGCAGTGAAGCTGCTGTCTGCTGGGCTGGAGGATCCCCTCTGGAAGCTAGACACCCTAAGGTATGAACTTGAAGAAAGACAGATAAGTTTTTTTCCCATACATTTCTTTCTGACTAACACAAAAGTACTTTAACAGCAGACACAAGTTTATGAAGCGCTTTTAATTAAGCTTTTTGCTCCAGGTTGGACCACGGTGGACTGCAGAGACTGAAACCTGGTCCAAGGAAGTGTAAGTGTAGTGTCTCCGTTTCAATCCTCAAACTTCTATTGGCAAATTATATATTGTTGACACTGCCCACAGCTCAGTATAGATGGGAAAGCTCGGCATCTTTATGTGTTGAAGTCAAATATAAAAATATTTTTAAAGTTAAGTTTAATTAATTCATTTGTTGGGGTTCTCTCTCATTCTAATATTTTCTTTATTAGACTTCTCTGAACTGGAATTCGACACAAACACACTGAACAGAAACCTCAAAGAGTTTGACGGGATACTGAAGTATGTGGAGGAGGAACAGCCTTATCCTGATCATCAGGACAGATTCCTCTCTCTTAAGGTGCTGTGTAAAAATGCTCTGACTGAGTGCTGTTACTGGGAGGTGGAGTGGGAAGGACATGTTGATATAGCAGTGACCTACAGAGGACAAAGCAGAGGTGATATTGATGTCTTTGAGTTTGGAGAGACCGCTCAGTCCTGGTGTCTAACATGCCGTTGGCCTTTGGGCTATGAGATTTGGCATAAAAATACCAAACAGCATGTCTCATTCTCTACTGGCTCACAAAGAGTAGCAGTCTACTTGGACTATCTTGCCGGCACTCTGTCCTTCTACGAGGTCTCCTCTGAGACACTGACACACCTTCACACCTTTAACACCACATTCACTGGACCTCTATATCCTGCGTTCACCTTGAGGCCTGATTCTGCCTTGCGTCTGTGTTCTTTGTAAGTCTCTGAAACTCTGTTGACTGATGATCAGGTACTGAAGTCCCACTACAGTCCCACTTCACTCCAGACTTAAGTCATACAAGCTTTGGTGTCGTACAGCCATCTCGATCCAGAGGGAACCTCCAGACCTCCAAATCCTGCAGAAAAGTAAACTCCCAAGTCCAGCTCAGATTCAAACACAAAACTATCATCATTTTCTGAATTTCAACTCTTTCATGGTCACTTCTTTTCCTTATTGTAATCCGACATTTTGTTATAAGTGTTTGTCTTTGCTTTTGTACATGACTTTGAACGAGTTCTGATCTGAATCACAAATTTTTGCCCTTTCAAGGAAGAATTGTATAAAATATGTTTACTTCACTTTTGACACTCGAGGGACATTTCCTGGAAAAGTCAGTATGTTTTATTGTGAATAACACTCAGAATGCAGGATTTTACCTGTAATGTAGTATGTTTACACTTTGGCAAAATTAACTTAATAAAAGCAGATGAATATTTTTCCCAACACAGGATTTTAAAGGGATTTGTCCAAAGCTAGAAAACATTGAATACTTCCGGCTTTTTCCTCTAGTATTTTAACCCTTACGTGAAATTATGCAATACTTTGCCATGAAAATACAGATAAAACAATTAAAAGATGCATCTTACAATAAAACATTCACGATGTGAACTCATCTCAGTCAAACAGAAAACACATTCTGCTTTTATAAAGCCTCAGAGCAACAAGCCCAGTTTGTTCCTCCTCATTTTAAAGTCACACAGTCAGTCGTTGCCATCATGACTGACCTGAAGAGTCCCGTCTGTCCGTCAAACATCTTGATCCATGGCTACATTTACCAGTCAGATGATCAATAAATGTCACATATCTTAACCAATCAGATGATCAAATTCAGTCAGACTATGAAACGCCCACCTGTACAGTTCACAAAAACAGTCAGTTGTCTTAACATTTACCAATCTAATTATAAATAAATATCATATGTTTGTGTAATGATCAGTAACAGTCAGGTATGTGAACATTAACCTATCAGACAAAAAAAAGATATCTTTCTTTTTGATCACCTGACTCATAGATAATAAGATTCTTGACAGTAAGTGACCCTCTAGACTGGCAGATGTTCCCATATTTAAACAATTACAAACAACATTGATACCCAAGACTGGACATATGCCATGTGCAGGTGTTATCATGCAGTGTACAGAGGGGGTCTAGAGCGACAGCCTCATCAGGCTGAAATCAGCTGACTGCACTTTTAGTCGGCACAAATAAGTAAACACTGTTATTTTTGCTTGTTGTCTGTTAGCGACAAAGTAAGTAGTTGTTTAAATTAGTTAATATTTTCATCAGTGATACCAGTTACACGTTGCTTAGTTAAGCACTACTCTAATAAGTCCACTTTTTTCAGTAACAAGTAATCCATCGCGTTGCTACTTCCAAACCAGTAATTAGATTTAAGTTACATGTCCAAATCATTGTTTGTATTACTTTTTTCTCATTTTCCTTAAAAAAAAAAAAAGATTGATTTGTTTTCATTGTTTTTAAACATGTATTTTTTTTTACATTCCTGTTAAAATTACACTTCCAATAAACTGAGTGTTGGAAAGAAAAAAATGGTTGTCATTTATATGTTGAGGCTGCTGGATGTCACTTAAAAAGTAAATAGTTATCTAAATTAGTTACTTGTAAAATCAAGTAATCAGTAAAGTAACTAAGTTACTTTTTAAAGGAGTGATCCATAATCATTGATCAAAGTACTCTTTAAGTAACTGCAGCAACACCAGTTTTCATCATCGAAGCTGTGAGATGCTGGTTCTGTGTCGTCTCTAAACTGTGGCGAGCTAACCCGAGATGTAGCTCTGGTTAATGGTGACTGCTATAATGCTGTACTATTGGGATATAAACAAGCACAGATAGGCAGGTGTCACTTCAGAGCGTGGTGCAGTTCCAGCAGAAAACAGTCAAATAGTTGTTATTGATCGTGGCCATGCATTCTCAGTGCAAACGAACCTCCTCCAGGTGATCTCAGCTTGTTTGTCATCTAATAACTGAACATCTACCAGTACAAAGGTCAGCACGTCAAACCAAACATCTACCAATAAGAAGCTGAGTAACTGTCAAATATGCAAACATACAGTATGTCAGTCACAGAGAGCAGCAACGTTCACGTCTTCTTCCTGCTCTTGACATGCAATTTTTATTTAAATGACTCTGTTAGCTTTCCGCAGAGTCATCCTCGGGACAAACAACCGTGATTTTACATGTGAGATTGAAAAGGAGTATTTCAGGACACTGTTAGTTCTCGTTAAGGCTGTAGTTATCTCTGCTGTCTGTAGGGGGTGCTAACTGCAGTTTACACTCTTTACTCACTGCTGATATTGCTCCACACAAGAGTTCACGGGATTCCAAGCAGTTTCAAACAGCAGTAAAAAGCAGTTTATCCATGGAAGAGCTCATCCAGGCATCACAGTGCTGCGCTGGCATCAGGTCACCTGACCTCATCTCATCAGCTGATTGGTTAAATAAATTTGCCTTTAAATTTAACACAGAAAATTTTTAGAGGATAAATTAGGTAAACAAAGATGTGTGTTTTATTGTTTGACCTTAGTACCATTATTATAACAGCCTTTTCTGAGAATATCAACCGGCAATTTATTGACGGTCCCTTATTCAACACCGACGTTGACAGTGAGGGTGTCGAGTAGATTTAACTACTGTTCTTATTCCTGGTTATGGAGAGTGAGAAGACACCGGTAGATCCTCAGTGAATGTGATCCTCACTAACTTCCCAACAGTATTTACATGTAAAAAAACATTTGTAACCTCAGCTGATTTTTTTTATGTGCACATGTGACCATAAATACATTTTACAATCCGCACACATTTTTAGTCACAAATGCGAGTGAAACGGTCACACTGTCAAGACCTGACTTTACTTTTCTCTCCAAATTTTGAGTAAAAGAGTTAGGGCCAAAAAAAAAAGACCTTTTTTTTTTGGCCCTTTTCCTCTTCCGTACAGTTCTCCTATTAAGCCACCTGCACTTGTCTTCAGAGTTATTCTGGTGGTTATTTCTTTTTTTATTTTTTTGGATTGTTGCAAATTTATGATATTAATTTGAAGAAGAACCTTACGGGTCCCATAGCATGCCAATTTCACACAACTTAAAATAGTCCCCTGGTGTGTTAAAAGCATGTCTGTGACGTTCTTCGGTCAAAATTTGATTTGGATCAATTATTGTAGAGCTCTTTTTATCAGCTAAAAACAGCTCTGCTCAAAATCCTTCGTTTTGGCTCCACGTCTCTTTAATGAAATGAGCTGCACCTAAGCCACGTCCACTTTACACCCATCTCTCTGGAAGGAGCTGTGTGGCTGTGCTCAGATAGCCCTGTGCTGATGTTTACACCGGCTCGGTCATGGCTGCAAGAAGATCGCTCGAACAACCCAGAGTCTGACCCAGAGGGAGAGGCTCCGGAAGAAACTCTTAGCCGCGTTCAGACCAAACGCGACCTAGTCGATACATCCTATGTATTATTTAAAGCCGCCAGGAGGGTCACACTTAAGGAGGAAGATATGAATGAAGAAAAAATTACAACCAGAGCTCTGCTACAATGTAAGATCTTGGTGCTCTAAAACTTCTCTGAAGCCTTTGCTAATTAATAGGATGGCCGTCCGACCAGCATTAGCCGGGACGTCCCGTATTTGAGCCAAAAGAGGCGGGTCGCCGCACGGCTAAATGCTAAAGCTACAAGCTGCTCCGGAGGAGGATTTTGTCCCCCGCCGCCGGAGTTGTAGGGGAAGAAGCGAGCGGCTAAAATACGGGAGGATCCGGTAAACCGGCGCGAATCCGTGGCCGTGCTGAGGTACCGGGGGAATTTAGGCTAAACAGTAAGTCAAAATATAACGTTCATACTTACAGATGCCACGTTTGTAGTAGGATCACGGACAGTTGGTACGGATCCATTCTTTATCTTCAGACATGTAGCAAATCCAGCGTTGAACTGCCCCTCGTTGATAAAACAGTCCGAAGTGAAATGGTGCACACATACATGCAGATATTGGGAAGTTCCGCGGGTACATTCCCATTATAAATAAAATCCACCCATTGAGTCCTCAAATCCTCCGATGAGGGAGTTTCAAAAGAGTTTTGTGCTCGTGTGTGCAGCAATCAACAGAGCAAACGCTGCCTCTTCTTCAGATCGTACTTCCGCCATGGTTCTAACCGGAGCTACGTGAGCGAGCGGCCGGGAATAATGGCGGCGTTTTGATAATTTTCTGGGCAGGGCAGTGGGCGGCTCCATGGGCAGTACCATCAACCTCCCAGCACTGACATGACGTCATATCAGTGGCGTTTTCGGAACGCTCTGAGCACACAGTTCCTAAATACGGAGATAACTAAAAAACGACTGGATGGAATTTTTACGAACTTGGGAGGAATGTAGCGGTTTTCTATCCCTGACATACACCCCCCTCCCGTTAACAAAGTCAGCTTTTCATGCCATGGCCCCTTTAAAAACTTGAGAAATATCTATTTAGGTTAAATTAATGACAAAGAAAAACTGTCAGATTAATTGCAAGTTAACAAAGACGATCAAATATCAATAATAAAGGCGTCTTGCAACAATTCTGAATTATTTTGGATGATTTTTACTTCAAAAGTCTGTTTACTTTAAGTGTGAAAATGACACCTTGGATGGTGAGATTTCCTGATTTCCACTTGACACACAGAGCTTTAAGGTTTTACACCACCTTTAATTAAAATCAACAAATGAACAGGAAAGTTAAGACATGAAAACACTGTGGGGGGACAAAAATATAGGTAAAGGCATTAAAAAATAAAAGGATGGTTTAAAAATACTTTGGGCCGGGACTACACAAGAAGAGACCTGCAGGAATGGTAGCATGCTACCAGCGAGGTTTGAAAATATTTTTGATCCTGTTAGACAGGCAGTAAAAGGTAAAGGAATGTTAAACAATCACACCTCTATCAGCTGATCCTACATGCGTCAGCGCCCTGCTGAATCTAGACACGCCCTGGTTTGGGCCTCAGGTTGTTCTGGTTTTGAAGTCGTGATCTCAAACACTCACTCCGAGAAGCGCAGCGAGGATTTGTGAACATTTCCCTGAAGTTTTACCTGGAGTAAAATCAGCAGGTAAGACACAGTATCTGTTCAACCCTTCAGATTTTCTTCACGTTAGATTCTTTCTAAGTCTTATTCTACTGTATGTATGTTGCTGATCTTTAAATGGTTTTAAATGACGTTGGCAGGAAGAGTTCTGGGTCCTTTTCCTTCAGTTTGGACTTTCTTGTTATAAACAGCAAACACATTCATGAAGGAAGTGAGTCATAAATAGTTTATTTCCGTGTTGATCCTCCTAGTGCTTTCTTAATCTCATGTATTTGATTAAGTTTAATTATAAATCAGATTATTGAGGATTTGTTCTGTAAAGTTGGAGACATTTTTCACTTATTGTCAAATACAAGAAACTGGGCTGAGGACTCCGTGGAGACCATGTCATAACCTGGTCTCTCTACAGGTTCGAGCTCTGTGATGGATCAGTGTGAGGACAGGAAGGAGGCAGACCCTCCCTCAAAGGTCACTCTGGACTTGGAATCGGCTCAGAGGTAGAATAAAGATCTCTCTTCTCTATTTCAAAGAAAACTCTTTTCCTTCACATTCACTCCTCTGTGTGTTTGTTGTTGTAGGTTGGAGAAGCAGCACAAACCGGATCCTCTTGAACCTCGACCTGATACTGAATGTGTGTCCTTGAAGACAACCCGGTCCATGACTCCACCCCCGGATTTTAAGAAGTAAGTCTACAGACTCTCAGAGTGGAGTTTTAACATAAACAGCCATCCAGGCACCTCTGAAGCAGCAGACTGTGAGGCAACATTAGGGAAAAGCCAAACAGAGTTCATTTCAGTCTTTAAACTGTGCTCTGACTGCTAACAGGTGTTATGTTTTTGACAAAGAAGGCTGAAGACCTGATCACACCAAGAAATCTGAGTCTAGCAAACATTACATTTGGAGAGTTATTGTGAATTCATGTCAGACAATCTTTTCATTTCATTTTTTTTTTTCGAACATGTGCGTGCAACACCAAAAGTCTGAAAACAAACATAACCAGTTTACAAAACAACAATAATAATAATCAAAGCAAAAAAGTAAAAATTAATGAAGCATTATGTTTTTTTTAAACCTATCCCTTCTCCTCAGTCAGTCTGTAGCAAAATTAGGTCCGTGTTTTGTTACATGTTGCACTAAACTTTGCACATCTGGTTTAATAAAACCCTTTGTCAAGCTTAAACTTGTTCTTTAATCAATTTATTTTTTAAACAGGATGCAGCAGCTGAGATCGGCAGACGCTCCAGAACCAAGTCTTGTGTCCATGAAAAGTGACAAGTCTAAGCCTGATGCTCTGAACTTTGGAAATAGAGAGTAAGAATAAAATTAATTAAATAGTTGTATAAATACACATATAAATACTCACCACCTTAGCTCGTGAGTCAAAAAAATCCTTTCCTGCTCCAAATCCTGTTCCAGCAGCTCCTGACATTTGGCCTTTCTTTGACACTTAAACATGAATTTTCCTCCACAGAGTTCAGCAGGACAACCCAGAGGTCCCCAGAGATCAGTGCACCCTGCAGCAGCCTGCAGACCTGGACTCTGTATTTATGGTGTGTACACATGATCAAAATGACAGTATCTATATCAGCATAGCTATCATCAGAGTGGAAGGAACACTAAAAACATGAACTCAAATGTCATGAACCATTTAGCCAAGGTGCATCACAGTTTGTGCCTCAGACTACGACACTGCCGGAGTTTTATGAACGAGAGCGGCACATTTTAGAGAAAAGATCGGAGAAGAAGTGTGCATGGACACACTTAGTAACAGTGTTGGTGTTATCGATCTGTTTCAGCTGCTGGAGGACAACATCATCACTTTTGTGAAGAAGGAGCTGAAAAGAGTCCAGATGGTCCTGTCATCAGATCACCAACAGAGAAAGAGCGAGGAAGAGGAGGAGCTGGAGGAAGAGCAGATGAGGGTCAGCAGAGAGGCATTTGAGAAGATTGTTCTGCACTTCCTGAGGAGACTGAAGCGGGAAGATCTGGCTGACTGTCTGCAGAGCCGTGAGTGTTTCTAACTGCAGATAAACTCGTGATCTTCTGAGCAGTGTTGGTCAAGTTACTTTATATGAGTTACTAAGTTACAGTTACTAGTTACTTCTTTCAAAAGTTACTCAGTTACTTCAAGTAAAGGTCTTTACACACCGGGAATGAGGCAAATATACGACGCGAAAATACGAAATATTCAGAGGCGAGTTTTGATGCGCCTGACGATACACATCAAGCGTGCTGCGATTTTGTGACTCTCCGAGGGGGAAAAAGACGCGTCCCGGGTGTAAGTGAGAAGACTGATCCAACAGCAGACTGAGTGTTTTTCAGTTCTGATCAGACTCTAGTGTTGAGATGTCTGTCTGTCATGATAGCATGTACTGAGTCAGGGTCAGAACCAGATAAGCACATTAAACTATAATCTATAAACGTAAGGGAACAACAGAGACCTAATGGTGCTGTGACAGCAACGCTGTGACTGAGTTTACAGTGAAAATACATATGGTCTGTTGTATCTGAACAGGTTAGCTTACGAGCTAAAGTTACTTAGCACAGATGAAAGTTAAAACAAAGACGTTTATCAAACTGTTAAAACACACAAACCATCGTCATTTGAGAAATCTGACACTTTGACTCTCCACAAGTCGTCCTTCAGGTCGTTATCTTTGTAATATTTGTGTCTTTTATCAAAAATCACTCTGTTCTCTGACACATAAACAATCAGCCGGTCGGCCATGTTGGATATACCGGTGAAACAGACGTCGTAACAACACGCAATCTGATTGGTCAGAAGTGGACACACAGTATGCGAAACTAAAAAAAAATGACCCTGATCCGAAAAATAAATGTCGCAATATCGCAGGACGGGAAAACGTTGCTGATGTGAACGCTTGTATTGACAGGATATGAGTTCGAAAAAAAATATTGATGTCCAAAATAACTGCATGAAAAAAATGCTCCCGGTGTAAAAGGACCTTGACTCCTCAATTTCAAAGTAACTAGTTACTAGGAAAAGTAACTTTTGATTTTACTCTGAATTTTCTTATTGTGTTGTCGACCTTACTGGATACCCAGGGAGGCTGACAGTCCTCTGGCGTGCTAAATCAAGCTTTCGTTGTTTTGCTGCAGTGGCTCCTCCTTTAGCGTCAGCCGAGCTAACGTTAGCAACATCACCCGTGTTACTTACAGGGTCTTTTTCAACTAGCTCGGTAGCTGTGTGTTGTTTCTGAAGATGTTTCATCAGATTGGTATCGCTCTTCCTGGATGAGGATAGAGAACCGCCACATAGATTACAGGTCACAACAATATTCCTCCTTTTACCGTCAGAAAGAAAATACAATGCGCATATTTCCACGAGAGAAATCCCACGCCTGGACTGTCATCGACTGCCGCCATTGTGGTTTTCAATCAATCACTTGCACATCGCTGCGTCACGTGTGCTTCAGGTCCACCACGGAAATTGTATTCCTGAGTTATGCATGTGAAGTAACGAGTAATGAGCCTGTTTAAATCACAGTAATGATAAATGCATTACTTAATTTGAGAAAGTAATTAGTTACAGTACTTGTTACTGCAAAAGTAACGTAGTTACTGTGACACTCTACTGAATTGGTCCCAACACTGCTCCTGAGTGTTAGTTAACCATGAGAAATAATCTGACATTTATTTTCAGAGGATCCTCTTTTTGATTTTATTTCTGTTTATTCAGGTACTGATGCAGCAGGATCTGCAGACTGCAGACAGAAAGTCAAGTCAAACCTGAGGGACAGGTTTAGGTGTGTGTTTGAGGGAATCTCTAAAGCAGGAAACCCAACCCTTCTTAATCAGATCTACACAGAACTACACATCACAGAGGGAGGGACCGGAGAGGTCAATGTGGAGCATGAGATCAGACAGATAGAGACAGCATCCAGGAAAACAGAGAGACCTGAGAATGTAATCAAACCTGAGGACATCTTCAAACCCTTATCAAGACGAGAGGAACCAATCAGAACAACAATGACCAAAGGAGTGGCTGGGATTGGGAAGACAGTCTTAACACAGAAGTTCACTCTGGACTGGGCTGAAGGCAAAGCCAACCAAGACGTCCACTTCATGTTTCCGTTCACTTTCCGAGAGCTGAATGCGCTGTCAGGAAAAAAGTTAAGTTTGGTGGAACTAATTCATGATTTCTTTTTTGAAACCAAAGAAGCAGGAATCTGCAGGTTTGAAGAGTTCCAGGTTGTGTTCATCTTTGACGGCTTGGATGAGTGCAGACTTCCTCTTGATTTCAGCAACAATGAGATTGTGACAGATGTTACAAAGCCCACCTCAGTGGATGTGCTGCTGACGAACCTCATCAGGGGGAAACTGCTTCCTTCTGCTCGAATCTGGATTACCACACGACCGGCTGCAGCCGATCAGATCCCTCCTGAGTGTGTTGACAGGGTCACTGAGATCAGAGGGTTCACTGATCCTCAGAAGGAGGAGTACTTCAGGAAGAGATTTGGAGATGAAGAGCAGGCCAGCACAATCATCTCCCACATCAAGACATCCCGAAGCCTCTACATCATGTGCCACATCCCGGTCTTCTGCTGGATCACGGCTACAGTTCTTCAGGGTATGTTGAAAACCAAGAAGGCTGGGGAGCTCCCCAAGACCCTGACTGAGATGTACATCCATTTCCTGATGGTTCAGTCCAAAGTGAAGAACATTAAGTATGATGGAGGAGCTGAGACTGATCCAGGCTGGAGCCAACACAACAAGAAGATGATTGAGTCTTTGGGAAAACTGGCTTTTGAGCAGCTGCAGAAAGGGAACCTGATCTTCTATGACTCAGACCTGAAAGAGTGTGGCATCGATATCAGTGCAGCCTCAGTGTACTCAGGAGTCTTCACACAGGTCTTTAAAGAGGAGAGAGGACTCTACCAGGAGAAGGTGTTCTGCTTTGTCCATCTGAGCGTTCAGGAGTTCCTGGCTGCTCTCCATGTCCATCTGACCTTCGCCAACTCTAACGTCAACCTGCTGTCAGATGAAAAACCAACACGGTGGTTTCCTGAACTTTATGACAGCAAATTAACACGGTTTTATCAGAGTGCTGTGGACAAGGCCTTAGGAAGTCCAAATGGACACCTGGATTTGTTCCTTCGCTTTCTCCTTGGTCTTTCCTTGGAGACCAATCAGAAACACCTAAGGCCTCAGCTTATACAGGCAGGAAGTAGGCCTCAGACCCAAAAGAAGACAGTCCATTACATTAAGAAGAAGATCCTTGAATGTCTGTCTGCAGAGAAAAGCATCAACCTGTTCCACTGTCTGAATGAACTCAATGACGCTTCTCTAGTGGAGGAGATCCAACGATATCTGAGCTCTGGTCACCTTTTGACAGGTAAACTTTCGTCTGCTCAGTGGTCAGCTCTGGTCTTCGTCTTGCTGTCTCCAGAAAGGAAACTGGACGTGTTTGACCTGCAAAAATACGGTGCTTCAGAGACAGCCCTCCTCTGGCTGCTGCCAGTGGTGAAAGCCTCCAGCCATGCTTTGTACGTGCACACATAATCATTCAGAGCAAATGCATTATTTAGTTAAGTATTTCCTGTAACTCAGACTTCAGACGGTCTTTCATTTCACCCTAAACCGATTTCACCTGCAGACACCTTCCTCAGAAGAGCCATGTCGTGTTGGGTTAAACTTTTTCATTTGATTCATAAGGGTTAAGTCGTTCTACCTTAAGTAGCAGGATGTTCTCAGTATCCCAAAATTCTTAGGACAGCAGCCCAGGTATGTGACAACATGTGGGCCCCCTCCTCTCTGCATGCACATGTGCAAAAAAGACAAAAAGAGGACAAAAAAATTGAACATCTCAGATCACCACAAGACAGGAAACCATGTCATGCACTGGGAAGATACCGAGGTCGTTCACTCAGAGAGCAACAGCTGCCAACTTGTATAAGTGAGGCAATAGCGATTACAAAGCAAGCCAAGATAAAGCGAGCCTTCATGCTGCTACATACCTGCTGTCCTTACAGACCCCATGGGAATTAATGCCCTGCCGCTTCAGCCTGGGTGACTAAACCTTTTTAAATCAGCAATCAAACATCATTCATGGCTCATCTGACTCTTCTGAGGAAGACCGCGGAAAGTTTATGGTTGAAATGTTTCAAGTAAAAAGTAATGAAACACAAGAAATATTTAACTGCAGAATAAAGTAACAGCAACAACATAAAAAACCTTTTTGGCCTGTACATGTTTTATTTTATTTTATTTTACTAACTCTTCTGTGTTTCTTGAACCTGTTAAGGCTGAGTCACTGTAAACTGTCACCAGAGAGCTGTTCAGTCCTGTCCTCAGTTATCGGCTCTGACTCCTCCAATCTTGAAGGGCTGGACTTGAGTGGCAATAATCTGGGGGACATAGGATTGAGGCACCTGTCTGCTGCACTGCGGACTCCACAGTGCAAACTGAAAATTCTCAGGTAAGTGATAGACTATTAAATATGATGAATGTACAAATGTACATATGTGTGAATGTACTTTTTGGTTTATGTGTTGATAATCGAAGGGATTTGCTAAAATGTTTTTCAGGTTTTTTTTTTTTTTTTACACATATAAATGTTGAATTAACTGACCTTTTTCTTTCTAGGTTGAGTGACTGTAAACTATCAGCAAGAAGCTGTGAAGCTCTCTCCTCAGTTCTCAGCTGCCAGTCCTCTAGTCTAAGAGAGCTGAACCTGAGTAACAATGACCTGCATGACTACGGAGTGAAGCTGCTGTCTGCTGTACTGGAGCGTCCTGACTGTATCCTGGAAACTCTCAGGTCAGCGATCACTTGGTTTTGGGAGGCCTTTAATGACATAAAACAAAAGAGGACAGGACTTTGGCACAGTCTCTGTGCAGTAGGATACATAAATGATCTCCACAGACCACATGAGACTCCAAACACCGTAGTCTGGTTAACCAGGACCTTATTGGCATAGACCCACATCCTCATATCCAAGTATTAAAAGAGGGATGTCTTTTTCAGCACAAGCTTTGTGATGCCGAAAGCCTAAAACAAACAGGGTCCGTATTAAGCGTGTTCCATCAGCGTCACGTATAACATAGAAATAGGTTCCCATTCTGATCAATGCAGCGTAACACACGGGATGCATGTCAGCTCCGTCACTGCATCGTATCGAGAGCAGCTCTGCTAAAGATACCCGCTGAGTCTATTTTCTCTGCTCTACGCTTCCAACATGCGTCAATGTACACAAGGAAGATCATTCCGGACAGGATATCAAGCATGATAACCGCGCATGTCACCCAGTATTTCAAAATAAAGCATTTTTCATAGACAGTAGAGGCTCAACAGTCACTGAATTATATCCCAATGATCAGGAAACCGACCACAGAAAGGATAAACAACCTGTTGTGAGCATGTTGTTTCCTCTATACTGAGCCCAGCTAACCGGGGCTGAACTACGCTGCTGCTACGCTCCGAATACGCTGATTCTGTGTGCGCTAGACAGCGCTGTTCGACAGAGCAGAGACGCAAGACTGACGGAACGTGCTCAACACAGATCCTGTATGTTTTCGGCTTAAGATTGAATAAACACACCTTCACATTGTTGCTGAAAGCTTGGCACCTCACCACATTGGCTGCTGTTTTCAACTTTTAACACCTTCTGCAGAAAAGTTCCTTGGTAAGTGGTGCCTTCTTGCTGCTTACACAGAATCCCCCTGATGGGATGTAGTGACAGCATATGCACAAGTTTAAGTTTCAGGTTGTACTGTCCATCCTGTGAACTTGCTTTGAAACTGAACGGTGTTCTTAATAATACAGATTTGAACAAGCCAATAATCAGGAATCACAGAAAAATTAAAGCCAAACAGCCACTGTGAGCACAGCTTCACAGGTCTGGTGGATAAACACTTTTTGCAGTAATGGTACAAATGTCTCTCTTTCTCACTGTTTGTAGTCTGTCAGGCTGTCTGATCTCAGATGAAGGCTGTATTTCTGTGGCTTCAGCTCTAAACTCCAACCCCTCCCATCTAAGAAAGTTGGACCTGAGCTACAACCATCCACAAGACTCAGCAGTGAAGCTGCTGTCTGCTGGGCTGGAGGATCCCCTCTGGAAGCTAGACACCCTAAGGTATGAACTTGAAGAAAAACACGTTTTTTCCCATACTTTTTTCTGACTAACACAAAAGTACTGTAACGACAAACACAAGTGTATGAAGCACTTTTAATAAAGCTCTTTGCTCCAGGTTGGACCACGGTGGACTGCAGAGACTGATCCCTGGTCCAAGGAAGTGTAAGTGTAGTGTCTCTGTTTTAATCCTCAAACTTCTATTGGTAAATTATATTGTTGACACTGCCCACAGCTCAGTATAGATGGGAAAGCTCGGCATCTTTATGTGTTGAAGTCAAATATAAAAATATTTTTAAAGTTAAGTTTAATTAATTCATTTGTTGGGGTTCTCTCTCATTCTCATATTTTCTTTATTAGACTTCTCTGAACTGGAATTCGACACAAACACACTGAACAGAAACCTCAAAGAGATTGATGGGATACTGAAGTATGTGGAGGAGGAACAGCCTTATCCTGATCATCAGGACAGATTCCTCTCTCTTAAGGTGCTGTGTAAAAATGCTCTGACTGAGTGCTGTTACTGGGAGGTGCAGTGGGAAGGATATGTTGATATAGCAGTGACCTACAGAGGACAAAGCAGAGGTGATATTGATGACTGTAGGTTTGGAGAGACCGCTCAGTCCTGGAGTCTAAGATACAGTCGGTTTTGGGGCTATGAGATTTGGCATAAAAATACTGAACAGCCTGTCTCATTCTCTACTGGCTCACAAAGAGTAGCAGTCTACTTGGACTATCTTGCCGGCACTCTGTCCTTCTACGACGTCTCCTCTGAGACACTGACACACCTTCACACCTTCAACACCACATTCACTGGACCTCTATATCCTGCGTTTGCCTTGGGGCCTGATTCTGCCTTGCGTCTGTGTTCTTTGTAAGTCTCTGAAACTCTGTTGACCAATGATCAGGTACTGAAGTCCCACTACAATCCCACTTCACTCCAGAGTTAAGTCGTACAAGCTTTGGTGTCGTACAGCCATCTTGATCCAGAGGGAACCTCCACACCTCCAAATCCTGCAGAAAAGTAAACTCTCAGATTCAAACACAAAACAATCATCATTTTCTGAATTTCAACTCTTTCATTGTCATTTCTTTTCCTTATTGTAATCTGATATTTTGTTATGAGTGTTTGTCTTTGCTTTTGTACATGATTTTGAACGAGTTTTGATGCAAATCACAAATTTTTGCCCTTTCAACGAAGAATTGGATAAAATGTGTGAACTTCACTTTTGACACTCGAGGGACATTTCCTGGAAAAGTCAGTATGTTTTATTGTGAATAACACTCAGAATGCAGGATTTTACCTGTAATGTAGTATGTTTACACTTTGGCAAAATTAACTTAATAAAAGCAGATGAATATTTTTCCCAACACAGGATTTTAAAGGGATTTGTCCAAAGCTAGAAAACATTGAATACTTCCGGCTTTTTCCTCTAGTATTTTAACATTTACGTGAAATTATGCGATACTTTGCCATGAAAATACAGATATAACAATTAAAAGGTGCATCTTACAATAAAACATTCACGATGTGAACTCATCTCAGTCAAACAGAAAACACATTCTGCTTTTATAAAGCCTCAGAGCAACAAGCCCAGTTTGTTCCTCCTCATTTTAAAGTCACACTGTCAATCGTTGCCATCATGACTGACCTGAAGAGTCCCGTCTGTCCGTCATACATCTTGATCCATGGCTACATTTACCAGTCAGATGATCAATAAATGTCACATATCTTAACCCATCAGATGATCAAATTCAGTCAGACTATGAAACGCCCACCTGTACAGTTCACAAAAACAGTCAGTTGTCTTAACATTTACCAATCTAATTATAAATAAATATCAAATGTTTGTGTAATGATCAGTAACAGTCAGGTATGTGAACATTAACCCATCAGACAACAAAAAGATATCTTTCTTTTTGATCACCTGACTCATAGATAATAAGATTATTGACAGTAAATGACCTTTAGACTGGCAGATGTTCCCATATTTAAACAATTACAAACAACATTGATACCCAAGACTGGACATTGCCATGTGCAGGTGTTATCATGTAGTGTACAGAGGGGGTCTAGAGCGACAGCCTCATCAGGCTGAAATCAGCTGACTGCACTTTTAGTCGGCACAAATAAGTAAACACTGTTATTTTTACTTGTTAGCGACAAAGTAAGTAGTTGTTTATATGAGTTAATATTTTCATCATTGATACCAGTTACACGTTACTTAGTTAAGGACTTAGTTAAGTAACGAGTAATCCATCGCGTTGCTATTTCCAAACCAGTAATTAGATTGAAGTCACATGTCCAAATCATTGTTTGTGTTACTTTTTTCTCATTTTCCTTAAAAAAAAAAAAGATTGATTGTTTTCGTCTAGGAGGAGTGATGTCAGTCACATAGGAGATATGTCACATTTTCAGCACGAGGACCACTCAGGTGTAATACATGTGCACACACTGAAAGCAGCCGCAGCAAAACGAACAAAAACAAAAATGGAGGGAGGAGAGGGCTGCGCGTTCTCAAGCTGGAAATACAGTCTCTATTTTACAGACTGTCTTTATTTTATATTTTATTAACATATAAAAGTTAATGTTTTGTCAGTCAAGAAATTCTGTCTTTATTTTTATTTTTTTTAAACTTCTTTTTTTTTTTTACATTCCTGTTAAAATTACACCTCCAATAAACTGATTGTCGGAAAGAAAAAAATGGTTGTCATTTATATGTTGAGATTGCTGGATGTCACTTAAAAAGTAAATAGTTATCTAAATTAGTTACTTGTAAAATCAAGTAATCAGTAAAGTAACTAAGTTACTTTTTAAAGGAGTGATCCATAATCAGTGATCAAAATACTTTTTAAAAGTAACTACAGCAACACCGGTTTTCATCATTGAAGCTGTGAGATGCTGGTTCTGTGTCGTCTCTAAACTGTGGCGAGCTAACCCGAGATGTAGCTCTGGTTAATGGTGACTGCTATAATGCTCTACTATTAGGATGTAAACAAGCACAGATAGGCAGGTGTCACTTCAGAGCGTGGTGCAGTTCCAGCAGAAAACCGTCAAATAGTTGTTATTGATCGTGGCCATGCATTCTCAGTGCAAACAAACCTCCTCCAGGTGATCTCAGCTTGTTTGTCATCTAATAAATGAACATCTACCAGAACAAAGGTCAGCACGTCAAACCAAACATCTACCAATAAGAAGATATGTAACTGTCAAATATGCAAACATACAGTATGTCAGTCACAGAGAGCAGCAATGTTCACGTCTTCTTCCTGCTCTTGACATGCAATTTTTATTTAAATGACTCTGTTAGCTTTCCGCAGAGTCATCCTCGGGACAAACAACCGTGTTTTTACATGTGAGATTTTATGAAAAGGAGTATTTCAGGACACTGTTAGTTCTCGTTAAGGCTGTAGTTATCTCTGCTGCCTGTAGGGGGTGCTAACTGCAGTTTACACTCTTCACTCACTGCTGATATTGCTCCACACAAGAGTTCACAGGATTCCAAGCAGTTTCAAACAGCAGTAAAAAGCAGTTTATCCATGAAAGAGCTCATCCAGGCATCACAGTGCTGCGCTGGCATCAGGTCACCTGACCCCATCTCATCAGCTGATTGGTTAAATAAGTCAGAGGGTAAAAGGACTCCCTCTGTCATCCTGTTTTAAAGTGACACGATCACTTTTTAAAATAATCGCATAAAATCTGTCAAATATTGTTCAAGAGCGTGAGGTCTTTGTTCATTTAAAACACTCTGTCATCAGTATGGAAATGCTCCTAAAAGAGGAAGTGACATCACACTTCAGGGTGCAGCCTCCTGTGGGTTTGTCATAAGTCTTAAAGTGGGTTCTTCTGGGGCTCCTTCACATGCCTTCATACAGCAGCATGCCGTTGAAGATGGTGAGGGGCTCCACAGAGTGAGCCAGTTTGCCCATCACCAGGTCGATGCACACCGTGTCCCGGGTCTGCAGAGGCAGGATGATGTTGAAGACGGCCAGAGATCCCGGAGTGGTTTTAGCCTCGGCCACAGGGTTGTTCTCCAGTCCTTCGGGCTGGTAGCCTCCAGAGTCCACCCGGGCCATGCCATAGTTGGACTTGGACAAAACCGCCTCAATCTTCTCATTCCTGTGACCCGTCAAGATGGCGCTGAAGAAGTAATGTCCGTCAATAGGGGCGGTGAAAATACCTGGAGGCGACAGGTTCAGCGTTAAAACACCAGGAAACAACCTAAAAAAACTGTGCAGGTGTTTTATTTCAAATGTGTTAACAGTGACGTTCCTGTTCCATCTGTCTGCATCATGTATCCGCACCATGGCACCCTTTACCAGGAACAGGTGTCCTGCCTTAAAGCTTTGCAACATGGATCAGTTAGAATTCGGCAATATGTCTAATTTTTTTTTAAGATAAATCTGAAGACACTCTTTCCTTTCCCTCAAACCACACAGGGGTCTGTAGTCCTAAGACCAGCTGTTCAAGTCAGACCCTTTTAGAAGAAACTGCAAATCAAACTTAATGCTGCTTCAAGTGGAGACAGAAATATTCCTTTGTGAACCAGAGAAGATAAATCATTTTGACAAAGGAGGCTGGAACGAGTTTGCATCCATGGTTTTGACCAGGAAATTAAATAGCGTAAATGCAAAGGTTTCAATTTGGTCAAATCTGCAGCAAGCAGCTAAAACATGAGAGACGTAAGGAGTAGTGAGGAGGGGAAGCGTGAAACTGGAGGAACATGTAGACGAGGAGGATGGACAGCAGTGGACGGCCCGCTGAGACACTACCTCCTCTCATGTTTACCTGTTCGAGGGTCGTAGAAGTCTCCTTCATTTACAAAGACCTTGTCAAAGATGATGGTTCCTGATCTCTCCATAGGAATAGTGAGAGCAGCAGAGAACGACAGTCTGGGAACATGAGCATCAGCACCAGGAAGACCTGAAAACACACAGAGGACAAACAAAAACACACGTTCAGAGAGCATGTAAGCCAGAAAACAACGCTGTTTCTCTCAGGATATTGACGGTTTATTGGCTCCCAAATTTGTATGTTTTCACTTCCAAAACGTTTCCTAAAGACTCTGTGATAATATCTGCATGGCCACAGTTTCTTATTTTGCTTAATACGTATCACTAAAGTTACAGATAATGCGATCTTTATGAGTGCCTCTACTATTGCCATTCACTCCTTTTGAAACTGCAGTACAACACAACATCCACGGTGGAGTGAACTTGTACTAATGACAGATTTTAAAGTGTCAGGAGTGCAAAATGTTCTTTAAAAAGCAAGGTACATACCTGTTTCACCTTTGGGACCTGTAAGAAATAAGAGCAAGAGTAAGACGAGGCAGCAAAATCAATAAAGAGGGACGTATGTAAAAATTAGTGGAAATTAGCAGAACAGACGTAATAGAAACGGAGCACGATAATCATATTTGCATTGACACTGTATCAGCATGTATAAGCAAGGGAGCACTTCTGTCTAGAATGTAGCTGCCACGTCTGAAAGAAATAATATCTGTCGTACCAGGTGGACCCCGCGCTCCAATTTCACCTGGTCGTCCAGGAGGTCCAAGAGGCCCTCTTAGACCTGGCAGCCCATTGAAGCCTCTCTCTCCAGGGGGTCCTGGGGGTCCAGGCAGACCTGTGTGATAAAATTAATGATGTAAACTAGCAATTAAAAAAACATAAATCTCGACCATCATATGCAGAAATGTGAGTGCAGAGAGGATCTGGATGAAGAGGTTAAAAAAGCTTTAAAAACATGATTTTAACCATCATTCCCTTTGTCTGTTAGCATCACAAAGTTAATGGGTAGAATTTAGAGTTGGAGCAACTATTCAGGGTTTATTTCTTTGTTTAAAACACATCCGTGTGACACCGCCATCATCAAAATACTTCAACATATTTTAATGCTGAAAAAGACAAAAGGGAACTGACTCAGATTTCTTTTTATGAAGGACAGAAGGCGACCACAAAACAAAGACAATAACAGCAACACATGAAAACACAACAAAATATTAAAACTGTTACAACAACACACCAGAGACGACAAGGTAATGTTGGTGGTTTTGTTGTTCTTTGTGTTAATGATGGCGTCAGTTGTGTTAGCGATGGTTCTAGTTGTGCTGGTGATGGTGTTGGAGGTTCTGTTAAGGTTCTGCTGATTTTGTTTTTTGTTTTGCTGTTGGTGTTGGTTGGTGGAGTCTTGTCAAGATGTCCGTTTCTGTCGATGTTAGTTGTGGTAAAGTAGTTGTGTTGATATCAGTGGTGGTGTTAAATAGGTGCGTGTTCAGACAATATTGGAGTTAGTCATCCCTGTGATTGTGGTCTTGCTGTTGGCGATTGTATTGGTTGAAGTGTTGGTGTTATTAGTGTTGGTGCTAATAAAGACCTTTAGTTTGTGTTTATTATTGTGTTGTTTTTATTGTCAGCATTTGATGTGTGGAAGTGTTTTGGATGTGAGGTTAATGGTGGCTTCTCCTCAGCTAATTGCAGCGTTAGCGATGCTGCTGTGGGTTGGGTTGGTGCTGTTATGGTTGTGTTGTTTACTCTCTTCCCTCTGCTAACTGTGTTGTTAGTGGTGTTGGTGTAGGTTGTGTTGATGTTAGAGATGATGTTTAATCCATGTTAGTGTCCAATTGTTTGTGGCATTAGTGTGTGCGTTTAATTGTCAGATAATGTTAGTTATGTTGGTTTTGATTGGCTTAAAGCTACAATGCGTAACTTCTACGTGTCTGTAAATATCCGTTTCACCCAAGTCACTACAAGAGGAGATGATACAACGCTGATTAAGCTGTTTGGCTCCTCTAACACCTCGTGGTATTCATCAGTATTTGTACTTTTGGGATTTGGTGTAGAGGGGGCGACATTACCGCGCTGGCACGCAGGAAGTGATGCGTTCTACTCGATTTTACCTCACAAGAGAAGGGAGGGAGTGAGGAGAGCGCTGTTAGAGGCAACATGGCGGAGAACCTGAAGAAGTGACCAAGAGGTTCACAAGCGGATCCTACTGAAAAGAAAAGGCAGAGGGTCTGTTGGCGAAGAAAGAGAGTGACAAACGAAGGAGACTAACGCGGATTGACATCGGCGCCGCTTTTCCTCGATGGAGAGCCCTGAAGGAGGGGATTGGGTCGTTAGCTGTGCTACCCGCTGTGTTGATGTTGGTGTCAGTAAAGATTTATAAATGACATGAGTTGTCCTGATGTTTGAGGTGGTGGTCTTCCTGATAGATGTGTTTTAGTGGGAGTTGTGTTGGCGTTGGTGGGAAGGACGTCAGAGATGTTGGTGATGGATATTTAAACTGGTGTCGGATGTAGAGGTGAAAGTTGCAGGAAGTTGGTGTTGTTTTTATCAGAGTAGAGTCGGCCATATTGGTGTGGTGGAGGTCTGTTGTTTGTGGTGGAGGGGGAAGCATTGAAAGCGTTTTGGGACTTTGTCTGACCTCCACGATAAAACAAATCAGCTCGCCACAGAACAGATTAGGTATTCACAGATTAGTCAACATTGAACAGATGGACTCGGAGCTCATGGGGTCTCATGACTTTCCTCCCATGACAGTTTAAACATCAAGCGGACACTTCTGACTGCAGTTAGTGTGTTAACAGAAATAACTATTTCAAACCTCTGGTGAGCAGCGTGGTGCCTACAAAACAAACAACACACCGTCAAAACACCATCTGACCTTTGATAGTTCAACGCTGTTATTCATTTCTGTAGTTATTTTCTCAGCTGCATCAGAATATCTAGGAAACATCTCGAGATTCAGCCCAAAATTTGACCCTCTGTGGTTGGAAACAAGTCACCAGGTGAGCTATGCCGAGTGAAGGCTCTGCCAAAAAACTAAAAGGTGAAAGTTGTATTTTGTTCTTAAAGGTGGTGTAGTCAGGATCTGAGGAAGTTCCAGTTTTTAGGAGAAATCTTGAATGTAAACTCTACCCCTCCAACCAGTTTTCCCCTCAGCTCCTCCTCTCCACAAGCCCCGCCCACAAACAGACGCTCCTGCTCGCTCGTATCGTTCCAATTAAATTCAGATATAATGCAGATAAATACTTCAGATCATTACAAATGGGGCCCAGTCAAGGTGAAAGTCAAAAGCATTGGTGCTACTGTAGATGCCAACAGACTACCAGCAAACACAATGTTTGCAGGACTTCTACAACGAGGATAAAGTGACATAGTCCAGGACCCGAGGGAGGACAGTTTAGCGATGGAGCTACAACACGCTACAGCAGGTCCGTTTGACAAGAAACACTTCTGTTACAGACACTTGTCTTACTTTGTTAAAGCGGTTTACCTGTCCAGCAGAAAGGTTACAGGGTCACCAAGATCCCCAAGCGTCCCCCATCGTTTATGTTGACCCGGCTTTTTAGCTCTTGTCCGGTCTACCTCCGTTTTAAGCGCCCGTTATTCCTCCAGAGTCTCCGGTATTTACTTTGTTTTCTTGCTTGTGTCGGCAGTCGTGGCCAAAGGAGGATTCAGACAATTTTCCGAACTTTCTGGTTGGTTTCTACTGTCCGATATTGTAGCACGCTAACTTTGTTTGGGCTCCTGAACGACACGGGGGAGCAGCGTCTGCCTCACAACCAATCAGGTTAGAGGAGGTGGAGAACGGCTTTGTTTACAGTCAGAAAGAGCGGACCGCTCAAAAATGTTCAAATGTTGACGACACAGACAGAAGAGAACACAGAGATATCGATATATTACCAAAGGTCATCAATAACTAATAACTATTGACTGATATTTAAAGATTTTTTCTTAAAACACCCCAATAAAGATGCTTCTTTAACAGATTCCTGCCTACCCCACCTTTACTTTGTGAAAATCAGATAAAAAGTCATGAATGTCAGAGTTGAAGTACTCGATTTGTCCTGAAGCAGCTGAGAAAAAAACTAAAGGACACTAAGACAACAAACTGATCTGTGTTGAAACCACAGAAAAACTGCGATATCCTCGTGTCGTTTCTCTTCAGACAGCTGTCGTCAGAGTTAGAGGAAATACTACAAAGGAGTAACTCCTCAAGCTCACCGGTCAGGTCGTGTTCAGAGAAACTCTGCAGGTCTTTGAGGACTTGGTTCAGGCTGGAGTTCAGGGTCTTCATCCTGGTGTAGACGTCGTCCTGGTTCTTTTGAAAAATGTCCATGACTCCTCCGTGATGGATGACCGTGTCATTCAGACCAGAAACACACGTCCACAAACTGGAAACATGTCGATTCAGTCCTGCGAGTCACAGATCAGGAGAAATCATTCAACAGAGCGCTCTGACACAGAGACACACAGGAAATGAGGTTTTAATGAAGCAGTGGAGTATTGTAGAGTATCGGAGTTTGATAAAGGTAAATAATTATAGTTGTAACCTTCTTTGATTTTGAGGATGGAGTCAGAGACACTATCCAGTCGTCCACACACTCCCTCCAGCTTCGACAGCCTCTTCTCCAGCCCATCTCCAGACCTCCTACAGTCTCCCATCTCCACCAGCAGCGTGCTCTCAAACCTCCTGACGTCCTTGTCCATCCCATCCAGACGCTCTCGGCTGTCCTCGATGTGCTCCGTCACCTCCTCCTGGATTTTGTCCAGCTCAGAGATGATCTTATCCTTGGTGTTTCCTGTCAGGATTCAGAGGAGTAACTCATGAATTTAACTCTGAGATGTGGACGAATGGATGCACTGAGTTGATGCTACTGAGCGGCACGAACCGAGGTCGGTGATGACGCTGCCGTGTTTCTGCACCGTGTGTTCGAGTCCCTTCAGGGTGTCGTTGATGGAGCTGAAGGTGAGGATGACTTCAGACAGTTCGCCCTGCAGAGTCTTCAGCTGGTTGTTGCTGATGGAGCCTCCGATCACGCTGTGGCCGTCTAAGGACTTCTCTGCGTCCAACCCAGGACCACGCCCACCAGAACCACCTGAGCTGCCAGAACCACCTCCGCCTACAGAGAGTAGTTTTCATACAGTTGCAATAATGTGAACAAAGACGGTCAAACATTCACAGTCAACATTGAATGTCATATTGATATAAAAATACCTGTGGGCGTGTCCAGGCCGGTTTTACATTTGCTGGTGCACCTCCTGACGTCGTCTCGCAGCAGGCGGACTTCATCCTCCAGATGTGAGCAGACCCGAGGGCAGCCCTCTCGCCCTGACTCCAGTCGGATCTGAATCCTGTTGATGTGGCTCTGCATGCGCCCCAGTGTATCTTGGGACTGATTCCTCAGTTTCCGGAGCTCGTCCTCCACCTTCTGACACAGCTCGCAGTCGTGCCCCAGCATCTCCACCTCTGTCACGATTCGGTTGAAGTGTTCGCCGTGATCACCGGTCAGAGCTTTGATCTTACGGACGTCGTGGCTCAGGTCGACCACCTAAGTGATGATTGACAGGTCAGTGCTCGTGATGATCCAATCAGACAGCAATATCGTATTTATTTCATGTTTCACTACTTTTAAAAACAAACTCAGACCGGACTCCATCTCACCTTGTCCAGGAGGGAGTCTCCGGACACCGACAGGTCTTTGATTCGAGTGTTGAAGTGTCGGATCTGATCCTCGTTGGCGACCACTCTCCACTCCAGGGATTTCTCTGTTGTATTATCTCTCTCTCCACCCGTCCCGGGCAATCCTCCCCAGGAACCTCCTCCTGTGCCTCCTCCACCTCTTCCTCCTGTAGTCCCTCCTTGTCCGCCTGTGCCCCACCTTCCTCCATCTCCTCGACCACCGCTACCTCTTCCTCCTCCATCTCCACCAGCTCCTCCTGTATGTCCTCCCTCTCCTCCTCCTCCTCCCCACCTTCCTCCTCCTCCTCCAGTGGTCCCTCCCTGTCCCCCTTCTCCTCCTCCTCCTCCGCCTCCTCCCCACCTTCCTCCTCCATCTCCCCGCCCACCACTACCACTACCTCTTCCTCCTCCTCCTCCTCCAGAGCCTCCACAACCACACTCCTCCAGCCTGCGCTCCAGGATGGAGGTGCTGTTTTCCAGTCTGGACAGCGTCTTGTCGTGGTTGCTCACCCTGTCCTTCACCAGCCCCACGTCCAGCTCCACGTCTGCGATCCTGTCTGCCTGGTCGTCAAAGCGGTCAAAGAACACCGTCTTCAGGTCCCCCACCTCTCTTTGGAAGTAGTCCTTGAGGTCGTTTTCCAGGAAGGAGCAGCTCTGCTCAGTCCGCTGCACCGTGTCGTTGATCCGCCGCTCCAGTTCCTTCAACCGATTGTCCAGTCCACCTTTTGTCACCACAGCGTCTCTCCCGCCTCCTCCGATTCCACCACCGCCACCGAAACTTCCTCCTCCGAAGCCGCCGGTGGGATTGCCGCTGCCGCCTGCGCCGCTGAGCTCCTTGTCCAGGCGGTTGTGCAGGACGTCCAAGTTCTCAGACGCCGAGCTGATTTTGCGTTCAGCATCAGTGACGCGTCTTTGGAGGTCATCCACCGTGTCGCAACATCCGCGCGAATGCGAAACCTCCCTTTGCAGCGACTCCAAGCTCTGCCGATACCGGGCGTTCATGGCGTCAACCTGCTTCTGCAGAGCTCGAATACTCTCTCTGTCTACCTGCTGCTGTCGGAGCAGATCCTCCACGCCAGCCTGAAAACACACAGAGCATGAGCTTCATCTTCAGAGGGTCAAAGTTCACCTACAGCTTAGATTATAGTTCTGGATGTACTTTAACGTGTATTCCAACTTTACACAATTCAGTGATGGTTATTAACTTTTATATTACAGACTGGGAAGTTGGCTACTTCTGTCAAACCACCTTGAGGTTTGTGAGTGTTTTTACATAACCCCAATTTCACAGAAAAACTGATCTGGATGGTCTGAAAATCAATTTAACCCTTTATTTATTTCAAAATGGTGAAAAGGCTGCAAATTAAATAGAAAAAGATCTATTGTTTGATGACAAATTAAAAAGAATTTTTAATTTAATGCCTGCGACATGTTTCAAAAAAGTCAGGACAGGGATATTCCCCTCGTGTTTCATCGCCTCTTCTTCAGTTTCTGGGGTTTGGGGTCTAACATGTTGTCCCATGTTTGTCTGGATGGCAGCAGATGTTGCTCCTAAACCTGTAGATATTCTTCAGCATCAATGGAGCCTTCACAGATGTGGAAGATACCCGTGACATGGACTCTGATCCCCTGACCATCATGGATGCTGGTTTTGAGCTAAAAAAAAAAAGCCGAATGGTCCCTCTTGTCTTACGAGAGAAGGATGCAGTTTCCATGGTTTCCATAAAGAAAGTCAAACTTTGATCTTTCATCTGTTTACAGATGGTGTCTTAGTGATCATGCAGTGATTTCCGCTGCAGAGTCATGACTGTTTTTTTAACCTGAAGATCCTTCTAGTCTCTGTTATCAGTTTTGTCTCTTTTACAGTTTCTCTGAATTTTGCGATGATTTCATGTCTCCTCAGATCCCATAACAGCCATCTGAAACATGTTGCTGGTATTAAATCATTTTCAGCATCTTTGTTTTCATTCAGGGAGGCATATAACAGTTACACGACTTAGCCACAAGAGGGCTCTGTTGACCATAGACCAGAGGCTCATCCCTGCCTGTACTTATAGAATATATAGTTTAATTCCACATTATATTTGATTTAATTATTTAAGACCAAGATCGATGGAAAATAAAGGTTACACTTTAACTTATTCTTCTTTTCTAGTTCTAGTTCAGTCAGACCGGTGGCTGCCTGTCCGAACTAGCTCCACAACTAGCAACCGTTGCTCCTTTCCAGAAGCCATAGAACCAATCCTCCAGTTTCTACCTCCATCACCAAAGCATGATGGGATACCTGACAAGAGGAGCAGGATAGGGACACCCTCCTCTCCAGCTCCCTCAGGATCTCCTCCTTCAGTGTGTTCAGCCTCCCTCCGCTCACTCCTCCTCCAGACAGACCTCCGTCCAGGTCATTCCCTTTCCCGTTTACCAGGTGGTTGTTGATGCTGACTAGAGTTTTATCATGAGCCTGTAGAGACAGAAGGAGGTCAGTTTTCACCTGACTGATCAGATTTGAGGTTGATGTTTCTGAGTCTGCCGTCTCTGACCTGTGTGCGGTTATCCAGCTGGTCCAGTTTGTTCTGAATACTGCTGATTGTCTCTTTAATCTCAGGCTGAGCAGCATCGGCGGGGTTTCTTCCTCCTGATGACGTACCTCTTCCTCCCCCTCCACCAAAGCCGGGCTTGTTGACCTCTCGCTGGAAATTTTCCTTCATGGTGTTCATGGTGGTCTGAAGGTCCTGGAGGTTCTTGGTAAGATGCTGGATCCTGTCCTCCAGCTGCCTCACTTTCTCGCCATCAGCTCGACCTGAAAGAAAAAAAAACCATCAACTTATCTGCTCCAAGGTTTGATTGATTGATCGGATTTTAATTTTGGATTCTGGCCCCCCATGATCTTAAGACTATGAAGATATCGTGCTTCTTGTTGTGTTGCCCCTGCTGCATCTTCAGAGCTAACCCTTAGATGGTTCACCCCTCAGGTCTGGTCCAGGTTTTCTTCTTTAAATTTGTTTCTTTTCTTTTTCCTAAAATGTTCAAATAAACACAAAAACAGAAAATCTGCTCACCGCTCTGCCCAGATCCAGAGCTGCCTCCTCCGTAACCCCCTCCACTGTGCCCTCCTCCTGCTCCTCCACTGTGTCCTCCTCCTGCTCCTCCACTGTGTCCTCCTCCTCCTCCTCCACTGTGTCCTCCTCCTGCTCCTCCACTGTGTCCTCCTCCTCCTCCTCCACTGTGTCCTCCTCCTGCTCCTCCACTGTGCCCTCCACCTCCATGTCCTCCACCTCCGTATCCTCCTCCTCCTCCTCCGTGTCCTCCTCCCTGTCCCGGCCTGGGCTGGGGTCTGGTGGTGGATATCTGGGTTCCCGCTCCTCCGACTGGACCATCGTTGCAGTCCTCTCCGCTGTAACCATGGCAACACTTCCACTCCATATCCGTCACCATTTTGTAAGCCACTTTGTATCGTGGCCTCATGTAAGTCCGATAACTGCAGGAAGATTTTAAAAAAAGTATTTCAGGTAAAGATACACCTGTTTCATCACAGTCTGGTTTATATATCATGAAGTCAGCTGACGAGATAGATATAGAAAACATAGATGCTATTGCAGATCGAGACTTTTGCCCTTCGTTTTATTCGAGCACATACTCACACCACCACCCTGCTGCACTGTGTGCTCCCCCAGTTGCAGGGATGATAATCAGGCTTCACGTAGGTTTCCACTCCATCCTCAACCACACAGCTCACCGTCTTTGTCACCACGAACGCACACCAGTTCCTGTTAAACACACAACAAAACACACACATTATGTTAGGTGTTAACTACTGGCACCTTGACCACAATCAGGCTGGAGGAAACACCATAACAGTGGACAAACAGAGCGGATCAAATCATTAAAGAAGCAGTCTATATCTACGTGGTGGTCTGCATCCTCTTTTGAGGGTTAAAAACTTTCCTGTAAGGTACTCTCCTCATCTCCATTTGGTATTCTGTTGGTCAGCAGCAGAGACAAGTCTTCAACAAAAACCATCTGTTTGGGTCAAATGAGGTCAGAACTGAGCATGTGCAGATGTTTTGGAGTGGTTTATACTTTCTTTTTTTCCACACAGCTGACCTCTCCGTCTTCAGAACCGTACAGTTTTTCTCCCACAGTTAAATATGTGTTTTTACAGCAATTCGGTATTTACGCCCGGAAACATTTTAAGTTGCAACAGAAAAAAAAAAAACATGACAACTAAAATAAAACACTGCATAAACTTTTCTTTATCTCCTCACAGAAATGTCAATCAGCACAAAAAGAAGTCACTGAGACATAAAAAAGGTGTTTAACTCTGTTGTTGAAAAGTATTCCTGTCTTCCATGAAAACCTAAGCAGTACTGTACTCACACATGGGGGAAATCACCCTCCTGCCTGGTGCCCTCATGTCTGAATAGATACAGCGCTAAGTACCCTCTGAGATGCTTTTGTTATAGAGAAAACCTAAACAAAGTGTCCTCAGGATTATCTGAACAGTGTAGACAAAGTGCCAAGGGATGACTTAGCAGTGAATGAATTGTAAACAAAGAGCTCTCAGGATGATCTTGTAGACTAAGTGCCCTTGGATGATCTTTCAATGTAAAACATGTAAAAAAAGGACCCTCAAGATAATTTGGATAGTGGATAAAGTGTAAAGAAAGTGGTAGAAATGTAAAAAGAGAGACTACTGGATGCTCTTTCATTTGGTAAAATGTAAACAAATCCCCCTGGATAACCTCCCAGTGGATAAAATATCAATAAGGGGTTAGATTATCTTTCAGTGGTAGAAATGTCAACAAAGTTAATTTAATATTTCCTTCCATTCGATAAATGTAAACAGAGTGATGAATTGAAGCTCCTCAAGCAGATAACATGTCAAGAAATCGCCCTCTTAATGACTTTTAAGAGGATAAAATCCAAAAAAGTGCTACTTAGATGCTCTTCAGGTGAAAATATGAAACAAAGTAGCTTAAATGTAAACACAGCATCTTTTCAGCTAATAAATGTGAACAGAGGAGAAAAAAGTTCTCATTTGATGTCCTTGTAGACAAAATATTCACTAAGAACCTCCTGGATGAGTTTGTTATGTATTGAATCTAAACAAAGTATCCTCTGGATGAGTTTCACAACAGGTAAATGTAAACAAAGTACCTTCTGTATGAGTTTGTGATGTATTAAATGTAAACAAAGTACCCTCTGAATAAGTTTGTGATGTATTAAATGTAAACAAAGTATCCTCTGAATGAGTTTCTGATGTATTAAATGTAAACAAAGTACCTCCAGGATGAGTTTCTGATGTATTAAATGTAAACAAAGTATCCTCTGAATGAGTTTGTGATGTATTAAATTTTAAAAAATTACCATCGGGATGGGTTTCACATCTAGTGAATGTAAACAAGACACCTTCTGTATGAGTTTGTGATGTATTAAATGTAAACAAAGTATCCTCTGAATGAGTTTGTGATGTATTAAATGTAAACAAAGTACCTCCGGGATGAGTTTCTGATGTATTAAATGTAAACAAAGTACCCTCTGAATAAGTTTCTGATGTATTAAATGTAAACAAAGTGCACAGCAGAGGCCCTTTTCTGTTGATCCAATGTTAATAAAGCACTCTTTGATGCCCTTCTTGCGTATAAAATCTTAATTAAGTGACCTTATTATGCGAAACATTTACACAGTAAATGCATTTATGTGATCTCTTAATGAATTAATTGTGTAAAATGCCCCATGGATAATATTACTCAATCAGAAAAGGTTGTTTTTTATGGTTTGAGCCGTTAGTGGTTTTCTGTCTTTTTCTCCGGACAGAGGGGGCCCTTTGAATTTTTTTGCTTCTGCCGCCAAAAAGCCCAAATGCATCACTGACCACAAGTTACACGTCTTTTCACTGATGAAATGTAGGAGTTGTTCTCGGACAAACCAAATGGCTCGTTCTGCTCTGACAAGAACATTTAGCGGTGAGTTATAAATATATGAAGTGTGTAAAATGGGACAAACAAAGAGAAGGGCGAAACAGAGAAGGAGCGTGACATTTCATCAAAGTTTATGAGTTCAGTGTATAAATGAAAACATCGTGCAGATCATCTGACAGCTTTATACTCACACAAACCCATTAAAAAAAACCAGTGAGAGTGTGTTTGTGTGTGTGTGCATGTGTCATATTGTGGCTGAAATCACAGGAAATGTTCAGCACATGGTGCTGATGTCATGCTGGTGTGGTAATGAGGAGTGTGTGAATGTGTATCTGTGTCAGCAGCAGGGAGACTGTGTCTCTTTGTGTTTTAATTCAATTGTCGTGATTTATTCTTCCGGAATGCAGAACAGCGAGCAGAGATTTCACTTCTGCTACACGAGAGAGACAACAGATGTCTAATATCCACATCATGCCTCTGCTTTTATCTGAGGACATTACAGAAGTTATGAGGAGGTTATCAGAAGGTATTAACCTCACGCTGATGAAGTCGTTGCAGTGATAAATGATAAAGATAAGCTGTTATCAGACAGGCGACACATAAACTCTACACGCCAAGTCATCACTCTGCACGCTGAGCCGATAGTTTGCACCAAATGTACTTCAACAAGCTCCAGCCTGAATCGACTCTACAAGTAGCGGGCGAGAGCCCTATTGAAATTGCAAAAATTATCTATTATCAGAATTATAATTATTATTAACTTTAAAAGTTTTTCAATTTTCACAACCACTAGATGGGCTCAAAAATTCATGAAATCTGGCAGGCTGGTCAGGCCGGGCTAAAATTCTCATATTTTATCATGCTCCTATATATAATTGGAGAAAAATTACTTGCTACTACACCCTACAGTTTTCATTCAAACTATGTGTTATTTTTATAACACTTTTCTATGATTTTTTTGATTTTTGATTGATTTTATGATTTATGATTTTTTTTTTTTAATATGACATTTTTATCAAACTGTACTTTGATATTTCTCATACTTTATTTTTATCATACTATGATGTTTCATCCTAATATTCTATTATATTTTTGTGATGATCAAGTATGATTATTTTAACATACTACACTAAGACATTTTTTATAATATAAATACGATATTTTTATTTTTATTATTTTACAACAACAATATTTTCCATACTATACTATGACATTTTTTTTAATCATACTTTATTTTTATCATATTATACTATGACATTATATCATACTACACTGATCTTTTTATCATATTTAACTATGATTGATTAACATAATATACTATAAAAAATCCTACTAGATATATATATTTATATCATTCTATACCATAACATTCTTTATCATACTATACTGTGATATTTTATCATACTCTACTGTAACAAACTTTACGATTGAATAAAAAATCTAGTACTTTAATATGATTTCTTTTAACAAATTACACTATGACATGTGTTTAGGGTTAGGGTTATGATATTTCTATCATCCTTTACTATGAAATTTTTTATTTTACTATACAGTAATATTTTTTCATTCACTACTATAACTTTGACTATCATGATGATTATATTGCGTTTCTTTGATTTTTATCATACTATACCATGGCATCTTTTAACATTTTTTAACATACTATATACTATGACTTTTTTATTATATGACTTTTTTTTTCATACTATACTATTACATCTTTTACCATACTATACTATGAGATTTTTTATCGTTCTTAAATATAATTTTTAAAGATTTTTTACTATGACATTTTTATAATACTATACTATAATATATTTTAATCATACTATACTATGAGATTTTTCACATACTATACTACGATTTTTTTTATCATACTTTACTGTGACATTTTTTCATACCATACTATTTTATCTTTATCATACTATACCATGATGTTTTTAACATACTATACTACAATATTTTTTAACATACTATAGTGATTTTTTTATCATACTGTACTATGACATTTTTTATCATACTATATTAGGATGAATTCAGACTGAAGATTAATGCTGTTGTTACTGTGATGAAGAAAACAATTAAAACAATTCAAGACATTCTCTCTCTCCCTTTGCTCATTATTTCTTTGATTCACACACATGAAAATGATCCTCAGACATTGTTGTTCCTGCCACCAGCTCTTTATTTTCCAAAAACATTTCTGACAGTACGGCTTCCTGCTTGGTATTAACACAGAAACATGTTTTGAACCACAAAACTAAAAATATCACTCTAAACGGCACACTCAGTAAGACAGTGAGTGTACATGTTACACTCATACTGTGTCAACACTGTCCACAGTATCACAGCCAAGCTTATATGTTACACAATAAACTTAAATTCAACCTGATGTCTCAATATGTCCAAAAGCAAACCAGATCTCCTGCAGGAGTTTGGCCTTGTTGATATATTTCATGCCTGTCATCACCATCGCCAGGTCAGGTTTTACGATTGACAGCATGCAGGATGGAGGAGCCTCTGAGTTCCCAATGGAGCTTCACATGGAGTGGAAATTTGGCAGTAAGAAACATCATAAAGAAATCTTTCATCACTGAGTTCTCCTGTGTGGGGATGGTTCACGCTGCTTTGTCTACAAGGGTCGCCAAAGTAAAAGTCCCTCAGTGCTGCTTTGAACTTCTTGGACTGAGTTATTAGTAAAAGGAGAGGAGTTTTCAGAGCACCTCTGAGTGTCCAGATCAGTTCCCAATCCACGTAAAGGTCTTTTCATTTCATTTCCCCTCTTGAGGATTTCATATCAGTCCGGCTGTTTGAAGTCCTGCAGTCTGCTGACCATGCAAAAGACACTGACAAGTCAGCATATGAAGAATGCACCTCAGGTGACTCAGATGTTCAACTGCATCAGTGTGCAGAGGACACAAAGCGATTTCAGCCTGGACTTTGGAACAACCATCGGAGCTCCGCACTCTGGTTCACTCGAGATTAAAGCTCAGAAATACAAGCTGTGTCCTGCTTTAAGTATCTTAGAATCAGACTGAAAAACAAATTTTAGTTTCAACTGTAAGATCGTGAAATTTTAACAATCGAAACTGAACAATAATCTTCCACAAGGACAAATGATGGGCCGCAGTATCTGTGCATCAACATAAGAAACATCAGGCAGAGAGAGGAGCAGGAGGAGAAAGAAGAAAAAGGTATGTGCATTAGGGCCCGACCGATTTATCGGCGAGCTGATCAAATCGGCTAATTTTGGCCCGTTTGAGACTAATCGGCCGAAACTCGCAGATTTTCGCCAATATTCTCGAAATAAAATGTGGAGAATAAGATTCGGTTTCACTTCAAAAATGTTCCTCCATTTGAACACCCACCAACCCCCTACAGTCATGTTTTATATTTGTCAACTTTAAGACTCCAAGTATCGTCTGACTATATTCAGCTGAGTAAACTAAATTCCAGGACAAAGTTCAAACATGAGGATAAAACTGTTTCCTTCCCGTAAACAGCGATCCGATTGTTTGAAGTGTTTTCTACAGTAAATCCTGTGTTTACTACTGAAACTCTATAAGACTACTCCGTGTGCCAGGCTCGTTGTTTATCTCTCAAACTATTTGAATTCGGTCTTTGCTTGGATGCTCTCTCATATTTTCCTGCAGACATCAGCTGTTTTCTTCGGATGGTCACGTTTAGCCGATCGTTCTGCAGCACACCCTCACATCACTGCTGTCTCTTTGAAAAATGACTTTCTCTCTGATCCCAGTCCATGCCTGCTGTTTTTTTATGCACCCTGACACCTCCCTGACACCTCTCCATCACTGCCAAGTCTTAACATTTCATCGGCATCATTTCATCATCCTCAGCAGACGTCGTCAGACCGTCGGACGACACCTCGACCACACGTGTCCGCACTCCACGGGGGGAGAAATCTGTGCCGACGCCCTGCATTACAACATCATCCTGTGGGGTTTAAAAGCTGCTTGGAGGACATAACACAGGCTGAAACTCATACTGATGCATTTTTACAACTTACAAAGCAAACAAGACGATCAGTGAGAGGATTTGTCATTTTTATGTAGATTCTAGTAGGTAATAAACTTGAGTATGGAGAGGAGCAGGAGGAGGCAGGTGTGTGCATGAATGTGTGTGTCTGAAAAGCCAAGGGACAAAAGTCTAAAGGATAAAACATACAGGGTGTGTATTTGGAGCGTGGCAGCAGCGTCACGTATCACGCAGCAAATAGGTTTCCATTCAATCAGTGCAGCAAAGCGTACAGGACACATATAGCTCTGTCGCAGCGTCGTATCGAGAGCAAAACTCCTCAAGACACACAGAGAAGATCGTCATAGACAGGAAGTCAGGCACAAAAACTGCACTTGTCATCTGGTATTTCAAAATAAAACACCATATGTGAACTCCTGACTGTGTATCAGTTCATGTAGATGAGAAATACTTCCTGGTTCTGGATTTATCAGTAACACAGAACAATCTGATGGTCAATCCCTGATCCATGTGGACCCCAACAGAACTTTGACCTGCTAACTCTGTCTGAAGGAAACAGCATGAAGGAACAGAGTTTACTTTATTAAACACCAGGAAAGGTTCTTACACACAAGAAGACTGAGCCAACAGCAGACTGAGTGTTTTCAGTTCTGATTAGACTCTAGTGTTGAGATGTCTGTCTGTCATGATAGCATGGACTGAGTCAGGGCCAGAACCAGATAAGAACATTAAACTATAATCCATAAACGTAAGGTAACAACCGAGACCTAATGGTGCTGTGACAGCAACGCTGAGTTTGAGTTTACAGTGAAAATACATATGGTATGTTGTATCTGAACAGGTTAGCTTAGAGCTAAAGTTACGTTAGCACAGATGAAAGTTCAAACAAAGACGTTTATCAAACTGTTAAAGCTCACAAACCATCGTCATGTGAGAAATCCGACGCTATGACTCTCCACAAGTTGTCCTTCAGGTCGTTATCTTTGTAATGTTTGTGTCTTTTATCAAAAATCACTCTGTTCTCCGACACGTAAACAATCAGAGGAAAAAATGAATGCAGCAATATCGCAGGACAGGAAAACGTCGCTGATGTGAACACTTGTATTGACAGGATACAGGTTCGAAAAAAATATTGACATCCGAAATAATCACACGAAAAAACGCTCCCAGTATGTAAGGACCTTAAACCTGCGAAAACCCAAACCGTAAAATCACTTAAAGCTTTTTCACAGACAGTAGAGGCTAAACGGTCACTGAATTATATCTAAATTATCAGGAAATCGACCACAGAGAGGAAAAACAACCTGTTGTGAGCGTGTTGTTTCCTCTATACTGAGCCCAGCTGAGCGGGGCTGAACTACGCTGCTGCTGCACTCCAAATACACTGATCCTGTATGAGACAGACAGAGCTGCTCAATACGGATCCAGTATGTTTTCATCTTTAATCACTTACTAACCTGAATCATATAAAATTCAAGCCAAAGTCATTAAGGAGGTTTTATGTGAAAACTTTTATAGACTGAATGATTTTTCAGATCAGTAGAGCTTGGATCTGATTATCCTCTTTGACTTCTGGTCATGGAGTTGGAGGTCCAGGCTCCAGGTCCCCTGGACTGACGGGTCACTGAGCTCCAGCTGCTTCTTCATCTTCATTTATTTATAGTTAATCACTTACAAAAGAATGAACTGGTGAGCTGACAGATAGTAAAATAAAACTGGAAACTTTAGATAATTTTGTCTTTATCTGCTCTAATTCGAGACATATGGTTATCACGGAGATCAGACTGGGACTCACCCACAAACTCGACTACTCTTCTGTCATTAACAGACAAACGTCAGCGTGTCTCTTACGGAGGATAAATCAAACTCTGATATAATGTTGAAGGAATGAGTGACATCAGTTACAGAGACTCAACCCAAACTAAAGATTTACTGCAGATCTACATTAAATTACCGGTCTGTAGACTTCAACACCAAATATCAACCTTCACTCCAGACTGAACCGTTTTAAACCGGCATGATCTCCAAATTCCTGAATCCTGAACCAAACAGGCGTCAAACAACCAGCCAGCACGGCTCAGAGAGAAGTTTTAGTGCTGCGGTATTCTCACAGTATTCATCGAAACACTGTGAGCCAGGAGCCGATCTCTGGGCAGTTTATCCTCTGTATCAGGAGCAGCTGTGACCTTTAACCTCAGGCGTACAGGAGTAAAACAAAATGAAAACTGCTGATACAGAAGGCGGAGTCTCCCTGCAGAGGAAAACATCGGATTATTTTTACCTGGAAACAAAGTTCGAAAAGGTCACAAGCGAGACGAAGAAACAGAGTTTAGAGCCGTCATATATTAATATATTAATGATATTTAAGGACGTGAGCGTCAGCGCTGGAAACAGCCAATCAGAGAGCAGGATTCAGTGATGCAGCAAAGTTTACCGTCTGATGATTTCAACCTTCGAACTGCAGAGAAAAATCTGAACGTGCATGAAAGTCCACAGAGGAAACTACAGATTTGATGTCTGCCAAATACACACACACACACACACACACACACACACACACACACACACTCACACACACACACACTCACACACACACAGTGATTGATGTCACTCTCTCTACAGGAAATGAGTCATTCGGGCGTTTGTTTCAGATTTCTCGCGATGACATCAGTGCTGCTCGCTGCCAGTGACCGTGTGTGTGTGCACGTGTGTGTGTGTGTGTGTGTGTGTGTGTGTGTGTGTTTTGTCAGACTTTAAATGAAACTGATAACTCCTGACCAACACAGACTATCTTTATCGATGTAAAACAGATTGTCCTTCTTGGTTTTCTCTCTATATTTTCTTCCTGATCGTACCATCACTAACAGGTTCTGTTTCAACGGTTTAATAAAGCGGTATTGACCAAGACTCTCTCACCTGGCATCACCAGACCAATCATTCTTCTTAAATTCATTATCTATGGCAGGTAGGTCTGGAAAATGAACCTACTCACTGAGGTGCAGTGGACTGGCCAGGTTAGTAACAGTCTGTACGGAGAGCAAAAGCAGGCGGGGTAAATCTAGATCACCTCCTTACAGAGAGGAGACTTAAGTAAAATAAGAACAACACATTAATTATGCAGTTGTGCACAGTGTCAGCCAATCAGAGAGCTGCGTGCGCGCTCCCTCCCGCTGGATGACTTTGATGTCACTGATGTGGTCAGATCCCACTTTCTCAGCCAAACTGTTGACGTGTAAACGTGGTTCGAGCTTCCCACTGACTGTAAACAAAGGCAGAACTGACGGTGAAGGACAAATACGCCCTAAAGTGGATCTGAAAACCGTCTTTATTATGCTACTGACTGCTGTGGTTAAACAGTTTCCAATCTCATCAGAGTGACTCTGCCATGATTTCACTAAACCTGGTCCAGAGGAAATCCTGTTCAGGGTTCAGGGTTTAAATTTCTCACAATGGGTGCGAGGGATCACAAAACTCTGTGTTCATAACGCAGGATAATCTGACTTTACCTGCAACATTCAGGTTTTTCTCATTTCCACCTTCTTTAAAAGTAAGTGTGTTTTACTGAACGGTGATTTTTAATACATTAGTGTGTCACACTCTGCCTGTTGACACTGTGGCCTCAGGATGAAAATGACAGAAATGACAGCACAGAAAAACAGAAAAGAAAAAAAATTACTCAAAAAAATAAATAAAACAGAAAAAAAATTGCTTGGAAAAACAGGGAAAAAATATTTTGAAAAAAAAAAAGAAAGAAAAAAAATACTTTGAACAGAAATAAAAAAAAATATACTGAAAAACAGAAAAGAAAAAAATACTCTGAAAAACAAAAAAAAAATAGTCTGAAAAACAGGGGAAATAATATTCCAAAAAACAGAAAATAAAAGAAAATTCTGAAAAAACAGAAAAAAAAAATACTGGGGAAAACGGGGAGAAATGTTTTGAAAAAAAGAGAAGAAAAAAAAAATTAAGCCAAAAAAACCCCCCACAAAAAAAAAAAAAAAAATTACTCTGACAAACAGAAAAAAAACTAGTTTCAAGAACATAACAGAAAAAATTACTTTGAAAAACTGTTTTTTTTTTGTAATTGCAATACGCTTTCGTACCTTCCGTAGTTTCATGATCATTTTGTTGTTACACTTTATTTTCATTAACGTCACAGCAGCTTCATCATCTTCTTTAAAAAAACACTGACCTTTAAATCTTCACACCCTAAAATAAATTACAGTCTCACTAAAATCTAACTCTATCTTTACAAACACGGCAGAGTGAAACACCCTTATCATCATGGCCTTCTGCCATTACACACACACACACGCACACACACACGCACAGAGCAGGGAACTATCCCAAACCCAGATGTCAACATGTGTGCGTGGGAACTGATCCACAGCAGCTCTGCGATGATCACTCGTCAGGTTTCATCCAAACGAAACTCCATTTTTTAACTGAATTTCCAGAAAAATCCTGCCGCTGAAACGTGACTGTGGAGGAGCTAATTCTGCAGATGAGGCCGTTAAACTCCTGCAGAGAAGATGAGGTCATCAGAGGAGCAGCTCAGATGATGGAAAAACACGTGGAGAACATGAAAGAAATACGGCCTGTGTTACTCGAACACATTAATGTGAGGGAGGTTACAGCCCCCTCATCACTCCACAGACGTGCTTTTTTACCTCCTAATGCTTCGTGTATGAACGTCTTTTTTTATCCACATGGGAACTTTCACACCTCATCAAGGAAAATCTGAGTTTCTTTTGAGCTTCCAGAGTCTCTAATGACTGTATGAAGGTGGATTTAAGAGGCTGGAGGTGGACCTGATGGTGTTTTATAACCTGCAGCTTCTGTATCTGCTCATGTGGAGCGCTCTGCCAGAAGAAAAGGAGTCCTCTTTGGTTCAGACTGGAGCTTTAAGAACATCTGTATGATAAAAATGTCTTTTCCTTAACTGTCCTACACACTTCTTCTCATTACCTCCAAGAAAGGTGGAAAAAGTTTTAACAATCAAATCTGAATTCACAGCGCTCAATGATTTTTACCTGCTAATGGCGTCTCAGTAACTTGCAAACTTGCTCTGTATGATGTGACCTCTACAGTCTCAAGTTTGACCTCAACTGAATGAACTTCTGATGGTGATAATGATGGTGAGCAGCTGGATGAAGCCTTTAGCATAAAACAACATTATTGCGTGTTTTAGGAAAGCCTGTATTCACATAAATAACAACAGAGGGGTCAGAAATGTTGTTTCTGTGTGTAAAGAAAAGTGATTTCAGTTAAAATTGGTAATTATAGACGTTTAAATTTGAGGTAGTTGTTGCTCGTTCACATCTTGATATTTGTGCTTTTATTTTTGGCCGGGACTCTCTCTGCATCTTAAACCCTCCTGATAAGATATGGTTCAGTAATGTGGTATAAAAACCATCCAGCCAAGACACACAACACCACATTATTTCAGTCTTTGCTTCCCTAAATGAAATCCCTTTCAGATCCAGATCTGGAACCTTATGTTTGGTATTGTGTCCTCTGTGATCTTTACTGTTTGTGCAGAGACAAAGACAGAGACCATATTCGGACTGAAGGAGGATGAATAAACCTGTCTATGCCCTAAAGCACAGTCGCCTTTATCATTCGTATTCATCTCTATTTATTCTAATTTATGGCCTGAACATCACGCTTTACTGAGGAAGACAAAGAAGAAGAAATAGTGACCATAAACTCATTAAGAAAATATTTACAGAGCTAATAAATCACCTGAGAAGTGACTCTGACACACTCTTCCTCCTTTTTACGGCAAAAAACTGCAGGTTGTGACATTTCTGCTTTCACTTCACTTTAGGTTATTTTCACAGATTATAAAAGTCTATAAACTGTCTCTAAATCAACAAAAGCAGATTTTCTCCAAAGACTTATTCATCCATATTTCATCCATGCAGCTTCATTTGAACCTTCAGGTCCCAGACATCACTTCCACCTCAGGTCTTCAGGTTGTGGACGATATAATTATTACATCAAGGAAATAAAATCAGACCGAGACACTAAGGCAGAAGAACTACCGCGTCTGCAGAGAAAAATGATTAATATGATGATTATTACTTCAAGGAAATGATGAAGAAATGATCATAAATGTTCTTCCTTGAGCTGTGTCACTCCACTGTAGTCCGTAATGGACTGGCCTGAGGTCTCACTACAAACAAGCGTCTGCTGGAAGAGAGTAGGTGAGTTGTATTTAGTCTCTTTGTTAAAGAAATGAGTCAAAGTTAAAAAGATGTTTGGTGTCTAGTACTATGTCTGTGACCCTATATGTCCTGTTGATGAAGTTAGGTGCTGTTCTGAGCATTATTTGTGGCTATAGAGTGGCGTTTTGGTTGAGCACGTGGCATCTGCGGTCGTTACTAAAGTTGGTATAACTAGAGAAGTAACAACGGCAACATCCATCTCCGGAGGGGGGGTCTAACTCGGTGTTACGGAATATCCCTTTAAGTTGAAGAACTCCAAACTCCTCAAAAACAGAAACAGAAGGATTTGCGCTACTTGAACTGAGAGACCCAGCATCTGTTGCCGTGGAAACCCAAGACAGGTATCTATTCTGTGACATCGCTCTGACATCATCAGCACAGGTGATGCTCGGAAACATCAAACCTGCAAAAACCAGACAAGGACCCGAACCAGCAGCCCACTGACACTTCCTGTGTTCACTTTCACCATAAAACATCTGTTGGACTCGTGTGCACACTTACACACACACACTCACACAAATACACACACGCGCACGTAAACTTTTCTGATCAGGTCACCAGCTCCTCCCACTTCACCTCATCATCATCATCATCATCATCATCGGGCTTTCCGTGCACGTGTCAGCCTACCTGTGTCTGCTGGCGGCGCGTGCCCCGTGCGTGTTCGTGTGCGCGCCCGCATACAGGCTGTAGGAGTTCCTCTGCGGGAACGCGCTCTTGGCGTGTCCGCAGGTCCAGAGCGCGAGCAGCAGCAGGGTGAGCGCGCCCATCCCGCTGATCAATACACGATCAATACAGAGTATCGATACCTGATCAGAGACTGATCAGCTCCTCAGGTGGTGGGAAATAAACATCATCTCCATGGAAACAAGGGTTAAAGTTTCCGCCAAAGTCCGTCCTACCGACCCATGATCTGGATCCCGATCCAGTCCTCAGAAACAGACCTGAACCCGAGTCCAGTCTCCCCTGACCCGCTCCGTGTCCCGGTACCGCTCCGGGTCCTGCCGGTCCTGACCCTTCAGACCCGCTTGGATCGGCTGTTAATCCGGTCTGATCCGGTCAGAGTGAGTCCATCAGAACTTTTCATGAGAAACAAAGAGGAGAAGCAGAAAACGTTGCGACAGACTGAACCGAGACCAGCTGCTCCTCCTCTTCATCACCGCCCCCCCGAACTGACCCCGCCCCTCCCGGAGGAGAAACCAGACACGTGCAGCTCCGCAGCCTCACCTGCAGACTGCCAGAGCTGAGAGAGGGAGACCAGAACCAGTCCACGAGGACTTCTGGGACCGGACCATCATGAACAGAGGTGGTCCAGGGCTGTGGTCACAGACCCGGGTTTACCTAAACCACTTTCTGAGGATCCTTGGAGTCTGGAAAACAAAAATAATCATCTTAGAGATTTAAAAAAAAGGACTTTAATAACTGATTTATGAAAAACTCAAATCTAAAGAGGTAAAAAGAGGTCTTAGAGGCAGCTTCTGGTTTGTTTTTTACAGAGAAGGTTTAAGAAACAAGGAAGAATTAAATTCAATATCAGACCTTCATTTACAAATTTAGATGAAGGATAATTTTATAGCTACAAATATATGCAAGACTTTGATTCATATACGTAAATACTTTGGACTTAATCATTGTTCATTTTTAGCACCTGTTGCGAATCATCCTGACTTTGAATCCTGACCTGATCCGGACCCCCCATAGACTGAAAAAGAAGCTGCATTTTCTCACATTTTTGCAAATATAACTGAATTTGAAGGTAATAAGTAAAAAAAAAAACTGGGTATTGTGGTTCTGGATCAGGACCCGGTCCAACAAAGTCTAGACTAAAAAGTGTTTGATTGTAATTATTAATTCATTAAAGCTCCTGTAAGGAGTTTTGTTTTTTTGACATTCATAAATTAGCTGAAATCTACATGAGAGAGATTTTATGGAGCCAAAAGCAAACAAGATTATCAGCAACAAGACTGACGTTTTTTATCATGTGATTTTTTTTATGCCAGAAATTGTGAAGGGGGGAAGAAACACTCCTGTTTTTACGTTTTCAACCCTCAATTATTCAAAATAAACTATATTTTCACTGTCAGATGCCAGCAGACATGATTTATTGCTTTAAAAGACTACTTAGACAAAGACGTCTTTGTCCACAGGGGGCGCTGGCTGACACGAACCAAAAGTTTCTCATATGAGCTTTAAATTTCAGGAGATAAAGTTTTCCTTCAATAAAATCTCCCTCAGTTTTAATCTCATTATCCATTACTAAAAACACCACACTTTAATGTATTGTTTCTTGAAACCACTGTCAGGCTGAAGCGCCAGCCGCCATCACGACTAACCACTTTAACACCGATGATAACATCTGCAGGAGTTTAAGATTTACGCCATTTTTGATTGGGTAAATTTAAAGAACAAAGTTTTGTCGTCAAAGATGCACTTTTTAAAAATAACATCATTACAATAGTGAAGACAAGGACAGATTTAGAGTTAACTCGATGATTTTCCTCAGCAGAAACCAGCTGGTTTATGTCTGTTTCCTGATGCACGTGTTTAGTTTCACATTATGTTTTACGTTTATTTTGATACGAGCCAGAAAAGGATGAGCTCATCCATCTTTAAGGGTGTTCACGGTTTGAATTCCTCTCAGAGGAACGACATCAAGTCTTTACTCACAGAGTTACTGCGACTATTTAGACGTTAATAACCTCCAAACTTTTTCATGCCATTGAGAGAAATCAAAGATTTGACGTGGATTCAAAGACGATGATGAACTTGTACAACCTTGAAACGTCTCTTTGAAGAGACGCAGAGGAAGAAACATCCTGAGAGCTTCCTGGAGTTCGAGGATGTTTCATATCTGCTGCTCCTAAAATAAACTGGTACCCATGACCTCTGACCCACACACACACACACACACACACACACACACACACACACACACACACTCAGATAACGGTAAAAGCAGCCGTCTCTGTGATGATAACAACATGACTAACACTCTCTGGGTGTGTTTGTGTCACTGAAGGCTGCAGCTTTAAATCACACGTCTTAAAGTTGATATTTTTATGCTCATACAGACTTAATAATAATGATGATAACTCACACTATAACTTGTTTTTTCTTCACTGAAGTCTCAAAAACTCTTTCCTCAAACGTTCATCTGTTCACTCAGGTGTTTCTCTACCTTGAAATTTTCACTCTTGTCTTTTTCCTCCTAATGTTTGTTTTCTGAGTTGTCCTTAAGCGGGAGACTGAACCCCAAATTGGCAACATAAACCTCTATACAGCTTTGAAGACATGAACTTGGGAAAAATTCAGAAAATTTCAGGGGCTCACACCTGAAAATTTACCTGACACAGCTGGTAAAAAAGGCCAGATTTCTAAGAGATGTTCTCTAAAGATAAAGCCAAAATACATGCAAATAAAGTCAAATAGCCTTGTCGACACAATACAACAGAATAAAGCCCTTTTAGACGTGCACTATGGAAAAATTCAGGATAATTTCAGGAGCTTTTGTTTGGAAATATCCATGATGCAGCTGGAAAAAGGGAAAATACATGCAAAAAAAAGCAAATAGCCTTAGAAACATAACACAACAGACTATAACCCTTTTAAGACATCCACTTTGGAAAATTTCAGAAAAATTTCAGAGACTCTCGCCTGAAAATTTGCCTGACACAGCTGGTAAAAAAAGGCCAGATTTCTTAAGTACGTCCTCTAAAGGCAAAGCCAAAATACATGCAAAAGAAACCAAATAGCCTTGGCGACACAACACAACAGAATAAAGCTCTTTTTGGACATGCACTCTGGAAAATTTCAGGATAATTTCTGGGGCTGACACCTGAAAATTTCTGTGATGCAGCAGGAAAAATACACGCAAAAGAAACTGAATAGCTTTGGCAACACAACGCAGCAAAGTTAGACCCTCTTAAGACATGCTCTCTGGAGAATCTTTGGAAAATTTAAGAGACTCACACCTGAAAATTTCCTGACTTTACCAGTGACCACAGACAGGGGGGTCAAGAGGTTGATCATGACATCAAATCGACTCCACAGTAGTCCTTATTCAACATTTAAACAGCACTGTTAGGCTCCATGTAATCACAGCGGCTCACTCGTGTGACTTCAGATGAATAATAATTACATATACAGATAAATCTACACGGATTTATTGAAAAAATAAACGAAGACTTTTTATTATAAACACAAACGCAGCAGACGAGTCGACACCTGAGCAAACTCTGATAAAAACTGTTGATGTTTTCAGTCCAAAAAAGAACAACAGAGTACGACAGTGAAAACAGGACTGCACAATGGAAAAAAAAAAACTCTATCAGATCTCATAAATCAGGAGCTGACCCCCCCTAAAGGCCCCACCCCACCTCGGGTGGAGGGGCAGACCACCCAGACGCCATCACTCAGGCTAACCACTGTTTTCAGTTTTATGAGTCTGTTTTTAAATGGAGCTTTGTATTAAACACAGCAGAGACACATTCCTGAGCGGGAGCCTCAGGTGAGACAAAGAGAGGGAGACCGAGGCTTTATCCTCAAACACTTCAGCACATCTACGAGAGGAGGAAGGAGCGTGTTTGAGGCTTTTCTTTACCTAAATACAGACGCTTGTTTTACATCGTTGTATGTTTGTGATGGGACGCCACTGCAATGGTGTTTTTGCAACTTTGAAGCTGAGACAGATGTTTAATGTTGGAAAAGAGACACAAGTCAGCCCTTGAAATGTGGGACAGAAGTCTCATCATCAGACTGTAAGAGTCGATATCTTGGTGTTCCCCAAGGTTCTATTCTTGAACCTTCACTGTTTGCACTTTCCCCGAGACTCTTATTGGATTTTCTGCAGTTAGTCCAAAATGCTGCTGCTTGTCCTTTAAAGGGATATTCCGGCGTAAAATTAATTTCGGGTCAAACACAACGTAAGACCGAGTTAGACCCCCCCTCCAGAGATGAATGTTGTCGACCGCTTGCTTATCTAGTTATACCAACTTTAGTAACGACCGCAGGATAGTAATACAGGGAGCCACGCGCTCAACCAAAACGCCACTCTATAGCCACAAATAATGCTCAGAACAGCACCTAACTTCATCAACAGGACATATAGGGTCACAGCCATAGTACTAGACACCAAACATCTTTTTAACTTTGACTCATTTCTTTAGCAAAGAGACTAAACACAACTCACCTACTCTCTTCCAGCAGACGCTTGTTTGTAGTGAGACCTCAGGCCAGTCCATTGCGGACTACAGCGGGGTGCCGCAGCTCAAGGAAGAACATTTATGATCATTTCTTCATGGAAATACAATCAGACCGAGACGCTAAGGCAGAAGAACTACAGCGTCTGTAAAATGATTAATATGATGATTATTACTTCAAGGAAATGATAAAGAAATGATCATAAATGTTCTTCCTTGTGAAAGCAGTGAGAGCGCTTTATCCCCATCCTCACTCCTCACTTCCTGTCCACTATATCAACACCCCCTTTGAGGTCTTTGAGGTCTGCTGATCACGTCTCTCTGCTGTGGATTTACCCCTCCATATTAAAATGTCCCTGACCTCAAACGCTTTTAAATCTCAGCTCAAAACTTGTTTTATTTCTTGGCTTTTAACACCAGTGTCACAACTCTCAAGGAAAAGTTTAGATTTTGAAACAGGATCTGTCAAAAATTTATACAAAATTTGCGAATGACAGGAACATGGAGCCAAGTTTTTATGATTATTCCTTATTAGTTGTAGCAGCAGCACTATGGAGCCGTTATTTTGGGTATTCTGGTATATTTAGGAGTCTGTATCTCTTCTCCTGTTGTCTGTCAGCAGGTCCATGTGTGGCTGAAGGGCTCCCTGGTTGCAGTCGAGGGTTTACGGCTCCTCAGTTTGTCTTCGCAGAGAATAAAAGTGGACGGCTGTTAACATTCCTGAGGTTATTGTAAACAACGGCGCCCGAAGGCGGCACGCCGTCAGTCATTTATCAGAGCGTTTGTGATAGAGATGGAAAATGTCGGCTCTCTTGTCTTTGTTTCCATCAGTTCATGGAAACACACGGATGCCTGTCAGGACACGCTGAGGGAAACGCTGCTCTCTAATGCTGTTTGTCTCATTCATGGATGCCAGTCTGTGTTAGGAAAGTTAAATACCAGGAGATGACGGACTATAAATAACCATCAGGATCCAGAGGGTCTTAAACAAACAAATCTGTTAGTCCTGATCCGCTCAGCTGTCAGACAGTCCATCTTTAAAACCCCGTCGACCGGATCAACCTGCTCTTTCTGTTCAGGTGGAATAACACAGGATACAGCTGCACATCTCCACTCCACACAGCTGTGTTAAATGCTTCATTCTGATTGGCTGAAACCTAATAACTATGATAAATCAAACCCAAAATCACAAGCAGCAAAGAGGCGTTCTCTGTCGCTGTGTTCACCCAGAAAACCTCTGGATCGTGGGTCACAAACCCCCCAGATTTATCAGGATACTCTGGAACCTTTACAGGACTCACATGAAGTCGAGGTGAGCCGATGTTGGATCGAGATTGAACCCGTCATAGAGCTGTTATAGGCAGCAGATCTCACAACCGCTTCTTGCTTACCCACAAATTCCACTGCATGCGGAACTGCACCGCTACCGGATGTGTTTGTGAGGCGAATTTTATGGCGGATTTCCGACAGCAGGGATCGCACAAACGCACGAGAATCTGCAAATTCACATGATAACAAGTTGTCTCTATAAAGACAACCACATAGACGTATAAGCAGTAGATTGTGTCCTTCCAGAGGAGGAAATCTACTTCTAGACTTCTAGAATCAGCATCTCCTCATCCATGGTGTCAACGGGGTGAAATGACGTCTAAAAACCTTTCACTTGTTCGTCTCCACCAACATTTGAAACACGATCGGCCTGAAACACGTAGAAGCCGGATGTTTTATTTTGTGTCTGTGCCCGGCTTCCTTTCCAGCACGGGTTAATCTGTGCTGAATTTATGCGGCACGCAGCGGTGTCCAGAAAAAATAGAACCCCGACGATCAGCCACGAAGCCGCTGAACTGCAGGGGGCCGGAAAAAAGACGGTGGAATTTGACACATTAACTTGAATGAAAACGATCAGCTGCTATCGGCTTCGATTGGCACTGACGGCCTTTTTGCTGCTGTTCCGCATGCGGTGGAATTTGGGGGTTAAACAGGCAGAAACCCTGAGCAGAACCAGACTCATGTTAGACTGTTAGAGAGTCATCTGCTGAGACTGAGAGAGAGAGAGAGAGAGAGAGAGAGAGAGAGAGAGAGAGACGGGGACAGAGACAAACAGAGACTATGGAACAAGTATGTAGGAGCGGCATGAGCGTGATAATAGACTGATCCTCGTTTGGTTTAAGGTCGATTAAAGTCAACAGGTCAGTGGTATTGATGAATCTGAGGTAAGTTATGGGAATTTTAGAGACAGTGTTCCTGCATCGAGTCGTATTGATTGTTTTAATTGACAGAAAAAGTGATCACAACGTCATCATCTCTAAATCAAGTTGACTTTTCTGTGACTCCTCTGCAGCCTGAGCAGGTGAAGGTCGCTCACCTTCAGGCTACCAGACAGTCCAGAGGCCAAAGCTCGCCCTTCTGCTCTCTCTCTCTCTCTCTCACCTCACCTGTCCAGCCTGCAGGTGATCACCTGGCAGTCAGAGCTCAGGTGTAAACTGTAAACCAGCTCGCTAACAGTCCAGTCGTAAAAGGTGATGCCTGCAGACGACACTCTGGGCCCAGTGAGGTCCTTTCACTCCAAACTTTCGACCTTTAAATACCTCCTATATTAAATATTAGATTTTTTACAGACTTTAAATCATGTTGTTGTGAATATTTTCCACCTTTACAGACTTTATTTACCGTGTCATCGGGGGTGAAGGCGCTGACCCCTCCTGCAGGGTAAATAAGCTCCTCTGATGTGTTTTTAAGTGCTGTTGTAAAAACAAAACAAGTCGTCCTCAGGCTCTCCTCCTGTTGATTTATTCGTGATTACTTCAATCGGTGGGGTCAAAGGTCACAAAAAGAATTTAAGATGCAGTTTCACTGGATCTCGAGTGTCATGATCTGATCTTCTATCAGCAGGATATTATAGATGTTGTTCATGGAGCCTTCACAGATGAGCCGCGGACACTGATGCAGAGTCCGTTATTTCCATTTGATTGACTGTCTTTGCACAGATTTCTATCAAATTAGCATCCCAACTTTTGTGAACTAGAGTTTCACTTTTTCCAAAACTAGATCTGGTAGTTGTTGCATTCTTAGTTTGGAGGTTGGAGAATCATGGTTATGTCTCTAACAAAGACAAATGGAGGAGAACGACTTAAAACAACAGAAAGAAAATCTTGTTTGTGATGAATGTTCAGAGGAGGAGGAGGAGGAGGAGGAGGAGGAGGAGGAGGAGGAGGAGGAGACAGCTTCCTGCAGCTCTGCTCTCTCTTTGCAGCAAAGTCCATCAGAGCAGCTCTGCTTCTTTTCACCGTTTTTCTTCCTTTTTTTAGCAGCGCTCTTCCTCTCCAGAATCCCACTTTTTGTTACCTACTTTCTTTCCAGGAATCCGCTCGGCTCCTTCTAACCTCCCTACGTCTCCTTTTGAAAATCCCAATTAATTTCCTGCAACATGAATCCTCTCAAAGTGCCCAAATCCTTCCTGCAGCCTCTACCCTTTCATGACACTCTGTGCCCTTTCCGCCTGGTTTATTAGGGCAGCTCAGGTTCTTGCCGGCTCCTTACTTCTCAGCAGCCCAGTGACTTTCCAGAAAGCAGGAGCCCTTCCAAGAACTCAGGTCCTTTTCTGCAGCTTGTTTCCACTCTTGCAGCCAACACAGGTTTTTTTTTCTTTTCAACATGGTACTTTTTCTTTTCATGCATCTTTCCTGCAGTCCAGTTCTCCGCCTGCAGCTTCTTCTCTCATGCAGAACTCAGAATCCTGGTTGCCTGGTTTCTTTTCAGCAGCCTTACCAGCAGGTTGCAATCTAAGCATGCACCTTTTTTTGCAAACCTGTTTCTTACATTGTAACCTGGTTCTGATTTCTCTCAGTAAACTTTTATTTCAACTTCTGGCAGCCTAGTTCCTTTTGGTCCTTGACTTGTAACCTGATTTCCTTCCTGGTTCCATTTGCAGCCTGTTTTTTTTTCTTTCTCTTAAAAACCAGGTTCCCTTCTCCCAGGCTGCTTCCCACCTGTTGCTTTGGTCCCTTTCCCGTCCTCATCTTGGTTCCCCTCTGGCTCACAGATCCTAACCTGAACTAGCTTCCTCGCTCCCTACCTTGAGCCCTAGTCCTGTTTTCTTACCTGCAGCCTGTTCCTTTCCTTGCAGCCTGGTTTCTTCCTGTCAGCCTGGTCTGAATTTTTCCAGCAGGCCCAGCCGTGTCACCTGATACCTGCAGACCCTCTGGTTTCTTTCTGTGTTTTTAGAGCGGGCTTTATGTCCTACATGGGAACAGATCGTGAAGCAGAACAGATGTTGTTGGGATTTAGTAAAACACCTTCAGTGTGCGGCGTGACTCCGACCCGCTCTCCTCAGGTTGGGTTTGAACCCGGACTGATATCAATCATGGTTTATAGGAATGTTTGGGAATGTGAACCAGTGGAAAGTGGGTCAGGAATTCCAGCCTCGACTTCACCAGAAACACGACCACCACAGATTGATGGAATTTGAAGAGAGGAGGTGGAAACATTTCTGCAGCTGACTGACAGACGGATTTCAGCGGGAGGAGGAGGAGGCGTTAGAGATAATGACAGAGTTCAACATGGACATCCTCAGCTGCAGTGAGGACAGACAGACGCCCTGCAGACGAGGAAACACTCGGACCCTGTACTCTGACAGACGGGAGTCTGAGTATTTAAGATGTTATCAAAACCGTCATATCTAACAGGAAAACTGCGACTCATTCATTAAAATGTGATATTTTCAGACTATACTCTTTATCTGCACTGAGACGACTGCTGCTGTTAAATCAACTTTAGCAGAGTGAAGACAAAAATACTTCCATCTGAATCATAAAGGAATAAAAGTATGTTAGCGTTTTGACTCCTGCAGCGTTTGTGTGTTTCTACATCTAAACCTGAAGAGCTGCAGACCGCTTCCTCTGAGAACATCTGCAACATCTCCTCATCTTCAAGAAAAGGGACTAAAAAACGGAGGCGTGATTTGTTAGAGTTCATGTGTGCACTGAGGATGGGACAAAACAAACTTTTTGTTTTCCTTCACATAAAAGTTAATGGATGAAAAAGTTCAGGGAGGGAGGGGACAAGGTAGGTCATCTACAGGACTACTTTAGACTACGAGACCACCTCTGGATTAGACAGAGACCCTGAAGACTCTGCAGCAGATGAGAGGAAAGGAGGAGGAAGAGGAGGAGGAGAGAGCGAAGGTCTGGGTGACAGGAAAAAAGGGATGCTCTCACATTATCAAAGGTATCATTAAGTTAAAAACACATGATGACAAAATGTGTGTTAATAATAAAAGTGTTTCTCTCATTGAAGTGTATTATTGAGGATCATTGTCATAATTAGGATTAGAAAAATAATGCCTCATGATGGTTCAGGAAAATGTAAGACATCAACATTTAATGTTAAGAAAAAAATACGTATTTTCAAATAATCTAATGTCTTTTTGATAAAAGACATTAATTTATATAACTTTATCTTCCTAGTGGATTTATAACCGATTCATCTTTACAACGTGGCTTTAGCGATTCTGTATTTTTTACACTCTTTCTTCGATGTTTACTGCTGTTTTTAAAAACTGTAAGTTAACATTAAAGGCAGTAATCTACAAGTTTGACACTCTAAGCCAAATTACATTTTTAAATTCATATCTGTCACAGAGACCAAGACACACAGATTTAAGAGGCGTTGACAGTTTTGTAGGAAACTCTCAGGCTGTGAAGGATTTTATTGAACATTTTTCAGGTTTCATAGAGTTTTTTGATACTTGGGGAAAATACAGATCATCAGATTCGTCTTCTTGGTTTGTTTGGAGTTGGGTTGTTGATGCTTGTTTTCTGTGTTGGACTTCTTTCTTTATAATCACACACAGAAAAGGTAAGTCAGGGTATGCGAATGCAGTATTTAACGATTTTAGATACCCCCACCCCACATTAGGGAATACTGAATGTCCTGAAAACTGAGTTTTACTTTCTCAAAATACGCAACACAGAACTGTTTGGCTCCTTAAGGAGGAATTTGGCAACCAGTCACAGTGAAAACGAATCCCTGTCTGACGTGTCTGATGTAACCGGCTGTAATCTAGACTGGGTTTCCCCCTCCGAGATGCTCTGAGACCAGCCTCAGACGCCTCTGACAAAAGAAGCCCTGAGCAGAAATGAACTCTCTTTATCTATTAAGAGCCACAGATTACTTTATATCTACAAGGGCTGCGTGATCGTGCTCAAGTTGTCTGTGATCCATCTTACCATCTAAGAGCAGGGTTTGGATCCTCAGCGTAGTCCTGGTGATAAGAATTCAGGCTCTTTAGGGATCCAGATCATCCACGTTAAAGGGATATTCTGGTGGAAAATTAATTAAGTTTTAAACACACTGTAACACCGAGTTAGACACCCCATCGAGAGATGAATGTTGACCGCTTGCTTCTCTAGTTATACCGACTTTAGTAACGACCGCAGATGCCACACGCTCAGCCAAAAGGCCACTCTATAGCCACAAATAATGCTCAGAACAGCACCTAACTTCATCAACAGGACATATAGGGTCACAGACATAGTACTAGACAACAAACATTTTTTTTAACTTTGACTCATTTCTTGAACAAAGAGACTAAACACAACTCACCTACTCTCTTCCAGCAGCTGCTTGTTTGTAGAGAGACCTCAGGCCAGTCCATTACGGACTACAGCGGGGTGCCGCAGCTCAAGGAAGAACAATTGGACTGGTCTGAAGTCTCCCTACAAACAAATGGCTGCTGGAAGAGAGTAGGTGAGTTGTGTTTAGTCTCTTTGCTAAAGAAATGAGTCAAAGTTAAAAAGATGTTTGGTGTCTAGTACTATGTCTGTGACCCTATATGTCCTGTTGATGAAGTTAGGTGCTGTTCTGAGCATTATTTGTGGCTATAGAGCGGCGTTTTGGTTGAGCACGTGGCATCTGCAGTCGTTACTAAAGTTGGTATAACTAGAAAAGCAATCAGTCGGCAACATTCATCTCTTGACGGGGTGTCCAACTCGGTGTTACACTGTGTGTTTGACCCTAAATTGATTTTACGCCGGAATATCCCTTTAAGACGGTGCAAACATCGCTCAGATCAGGCGGTTCATTGGGTGGTGGCACTCGTGACCTTTTCTACATCTCATGGTTGAGTTTTCTGGAATTAGAAAGCATAAAACTGTTCAGGGGATCTTGTCCCTGGTGAAATCATGAGTGGCCTGGATTGCCTGTAGGGGTCATAACCCCCTACATTAGCCTGGTTTAACCTAAACACCAGAGACAGGTAGTCAGCAGTCAGAGAGAGAGTTTATCCGTCCCAAACACAGTCCATATGTTAGTTAGGAAACTTCTCAGGTGGTGTTTTACACGAGCGGCTCAGTGGACTTTGACTAGGTGGTCTCTGCTGTGTCTAGTCAACAGTTGGAGGTGTTTATGGAGTTACCAGTCAGTTGTAGATTCACGTGGCCGTGTTGATCGTCTTTAAACAGAAACAGCTTCATATTTAGTCTGAGTCTGCTGCAGGGTAACTAATCTAAACTGAGTTTACAGTCACTGGGGGTGGAGAGCATACCTGGGGGCCGAGTTAACCCTCACTCTGCTTTTTCCACTCAGCTCTGTAACCTCCCCCCATCCTCCTCGCTCGCTCTCTTTGTTTATTTGACTTCCATCAGGATCTTTTCTCTCCACGGAGAGAGAGAGCGAGAGCTGCTGCTGCTGCTGCTGGGGTTCGATATCACTGAAGTGCAAAAGCAAAACTGAGAAGAGGCTCCGGCAGAGGAAGATCATTAATGTCTGATTATTATTACATATACGGTATTACAGGTATCAGCTTAACAGAGTCATAATTACATGCTGACCTTTAACCTTTCATCCCCATTGTTATAACATCACCACCATCATCTTCCTCTATTTTCTCTAGTCAAAATCATGGTTATAAAGACCTGGATCATCAGCTTCATTATTGTCATTATCCTCATAATCACCCATTTCCTCATGATCGTTATCATCCTTATCTCCATTAGTAACGCTACAATTACAACATCTGTTTATATTTTCTACATAATCAACAACATCATAATCAGCAACACTGTCATCTCTCAAAACCTTTATTAATCGAGCATCTACATTCTCATCATTATCATTATCATTATCAAAATGCTCATCAATAACATGATCGTCTTTAAAACGATCAGCATCTGCACCAGTATCAGCACAATCATTATCAGCCAATCTGCCATTTTATGATTAGAGTCAGTTTAACTCTCATCATCATCATCATCATCAACAACATCATCATCATCATTAACATCATCATTAACATCATCATAATCATCGTCATCATCATCATCGTCATTCTCATCATCATCATCATCATCATCATCATCACTATCATTTCCCAAATAATATCAACATCATCACCATCTTCATCATTACAATCATGACTAACACAACCATCCTCATCCTCGTAGCTGCTATGATCTTTTTAATATCATCATATATCATCGAGAATATCATCATGATCATCATCATCACACCTTCGTTATTATCCTCGTAATAGTTGTCATAGTTAAAAACACTGTAATCTTTCATAGTCAAGGTATTTGGTATCCATCTTCATTATCAGTGAAATCTTCATCATTATCATGCTCTTTATCAAACATTATCATCTTCAAATTTCAATTTTTATTAGTATCAGTTTCAGCCTTATTATCATTGTTATTATCATGAACAGCTTCATTATTATAACCATTATCCATATAAGAATTTCCATGAGCAATTTTAACATTATCATCCTCCTCATCATCCTAGTCATTATCACAATAAATAACAATACCATCTTCATTCTCACAATTTTCATATTCCTAATTTTATTCCTGATTTAAAATTATGTCATCTCCTACATTATCGAGGATTCTGGCACCATCATTTCTATTATCATTTTCACCCTCGATATGATCATAATCACAGAAAATAACAGTTATCTGTATTTTCATCAAAATCCTTAAAAACTACACATCTTCATTTTAATTACATTATCATTATTATCATTCTCAGTATCAAAACACTCATCAACTACATTATCATCTTCTTCACCAGTATTAGCACCTACATTATCAGCAAAATCCTCATCAAAATCATGAACAGTTTCACCATCATTGTCATCAAATTTATCATTAACAACATTATCGCCGTGATCTTTGAAAAGTCTTTTTTCTTCATGATAACCATTACCTTATTGAGATCATTTACACTGTCAACATCATTATCACTATTCATGTTATTCAGTCATATTCATCATTATCATTGTGAATGACACTTCCATCTTCAGCCTCATAAGGATTATAATCCTCATCGATATCGTCATCTAAGTAATCCAGGATATCCTTATCATCACCGTTCTAATCATTATCACCTTCATTACTATAATATTATCATTATCAGAATTTACCATCATGACTATCATTATCTATGTATGATCATCTACAGCATCATGGGTTATCATCAACTACCACTAAAATTATCAACACTTTCATTATGAGAATATCATCATCATCATCATCCTCATCATCATTAAAGTCATCATCTTGTTGATTCATGATTATCATCACAAACCTCTCTATTAACCTCCTCTTTAACCTTCAACATACATCACTAGACCACTGATGGTGACCTCAGTGACCTCCTCATTAGACCAGACGTCTCATTCCCAGATCAAATCTCATTAACTTCAACACCAGATAAATAAACATGATTGACCTCATTAGCTGACCTCCTAATCTTGTTGTTCTTACATCATCAAACCCCGTCGCCCAGGAAAACAAACTCTGCTTTTCAAAACCCTCATTACTCATCCACCAAACCTCTTGACCTCATTTGTCAGACACTGAAAATATTGCTAATACTCTCGCTAAACCACTAAACCACGATGGTCTTAACCCTGGACTAACAGACGTGTAGGGCCGTCAAACCAGGAGCAGGCAGGTGGTCCCTGAGCGCACATGAGACTCTCACCAATATCAGACCTGGACCTTCACACCTTGCTGAACTCATCACCTCCAACATTCAATGACCTAATCCCTGGATTTCCAGACCTTTAAAGACCTCATCACCAAACCACCACACCATAGTGACCTCTTCACCGGACCACCGATCATTTTTGACCTCTACGCTTCACCGCCAAAACCTCACTGAACCACTTCCCTTGACTTTAATAACCTCCTCACCAGCCTTCAAAGCCCTGCGAACCTCATTACTGCTTCACCAAACCCGAGTAACCTCATTCGCCAGGCCACCAGATATTGCTGACCACTAATGATACACTATATACTTCACTGAAACACCGAACCTTGCTGCAAAACCTCACTTACTCCCTCGCTAGACCACCAAATCTCACTTAGCCCATTTACCAGACCCTTGAAACCTCAAAGACCTCACCACTAGACCAACACAACCCCCTGACCTCATCCACAGACCACTACATCTCAATATTATTTGTTTGAATTTGGGGAAGAACAATCTAACACAAGTAGGAGAGTCACATCTTTGACATGTTAAATTCAGCAGGTCACAGCGCCTGTTTCTGACTGTGTAGAAATCAAACATCCTCCTCTGCTCGGCCTCAGGCAGCTGGAAGTCATTACCACCACCCCCATCCCTCTCTCTCTCTCTCTCTCTCTCTCTCTCTCTCTTCTGTGTCCCCCTCCCCCTCCCTTCCCCTCTCACACAGCCTGACTGTGTTTTCACCACATTATAAATCCATTCAGGACTCTGGGCCAACTGTGTCGACTTTAACAATATGTTTACTGGTTAAGTTGGAAGATCTCGGACACGCCCAACAGAAAACGTTAAATCTGTAAGAACAGAGAGCTTCACTGTAACCACACTGGGAGAAGTATGTAGAGTAAACGCTCAGAGAGAGAACTGAGAGGACGATGAGACAGACGCGGAGAGACACTGTGACTGCAGTGACATAAGGAAAGAAAAACAGGGAAGACGGCGGCAGTGTCAGAGAGCTGAAATCAGTGTGAGCATCTGTAATATCACTGAAAACACTGGAAACTCTGAGATGACACTGACAACGTAAAAAAAAAAAAACAAAGTAAACATTGATGCTCTGACCTTCATTCACATCAGGATATCCAGAAAAACGGTAGAAGAAGCTTCTTCTGTCCTCCAGAACCTTCTGCATACTTACGATTATTGCAAAGTCAAAAATCGTTTCCTCTTTTGCAAGAACTTTTCGAAATCAAAGGTTAACTAAGAAGACGTGCAGAATCAGTCGGTGCATTCATAAATCGAAAACTTGATTTAAGTTTGCAACGAAAGCAAAAATAATGCAGTTCGATTTTCTCTCTGGTTTACACAATCGGACTGAAACTGTCTCTCAAGGATTGGCTTTGACCTAGAAGATGATTAGCATAAAAACCTGGATGGACAAAGAAAGGATGATACCGAACAATGATTCCGATTGAAGGGGAACGTTATGCATGCTTTGCTTTTCCATCAAAGCAAATGCCGTATAAATAAAGGTATGATTATCATGTTTAGGAGTGTGACTTCATCTTGAGAGCTACCTGCCCTTCCACAAGCGTAAACGCCAAAACCATAGGCGGCAGACGATGGTTGGATGCATTCATCAAGGGACCATCAGCAAAGATCTCTGGGTTGCAGAAGAGAGCAGGTATCAGTGAAAACAGAAATGACAGTTTAAGAAGGAGGAGGAGGAGGAGGAGGAGTGGAGGTGGGTTGCAGAGAGGAGAGTCACATCAGGTTCAATCCAACGTTCCTCTGACATTCGCAAAGACGTTGTTTGTTTTGTTTTATGGAGCAGCTTTTGTTCACCATGAGTTGTTATTTGCTTTGGTTCTGCTGTTTGTCAGCTGTAATAAATCACTGCTATTAATTGAAAACTTCGCCAAGTCTCTGGTTTGTGGACGGGGGGGCGGAGGAAAAATCCTTTTGTATTTTTACTTTGTATTTTCACTCCAACCCCCCCTCAATGGCTGCACAACACTGACAGCGAGAGGGTTATGAAAGCGGTTTGTGAAATACTGCGAGCGAGTTCTCGAAAGGATGATTTGGAAACACGTGTTGTAAGTTTCCGTTTGCAAATCACTCTGGGAATTCTTCTACAACTCTGTTTGGATCTGAACCTGAAAGAAAAGCTCCAACTTCTTGACTAATACTCACAAAATCCATGAAAGGAAGGGGAAAGCCCCATCCAACGCCATTTCGCTTAATTGCCCACCAAAGGGTTACTGTAATCGGGCCCAAACGGAGCTGAGTCAGGTGTGCCACAGAAGCAACAATCGCTGTGGATCTGAGGGTTGGTCTGCAGCTCCTGTGCTGATGACAGAACGCTCAGGTGAGGGTAATCCGCGCTCTCAGACAGGCGTGGCACACCTGAAACTCTAGAAGAGGCCGGAATGAGTCAGTGGACCCATCCCTGTCACTCTTCTTTAGACTCCGGTGAAGTCGGCGTTGTGTGGCTGTGAAACTAAAAGAGTGAAAATGATTTCCAGGTTGGTTCCTGATGCGGAGCGTGTGTCAGGATGTGATATTTTACCTCCCGTAAGCCAAATTTAATGAGTTAAACTTCCAGCAGAGAACAAACGCGGTGACTCAGTGCTGCTGTTCAAACAGCCGCCTGTTAAACTCGGGTTTATACAGCAATAAAAGCTGTTGCACAAACAACGGGGGCAACGTTAAGAAGAAAGACGCACTTAAGCAATCTGCGGGGATGAAATACCTCCATTTTACTGCTTCAAGACGAGTTAAAAGCCAAATGAAACCAGTTTGACTGAAGAAAGACCGCAGACAGGCTGGAAACACCAGAGGAGATAGAGAACAAAAGAAACACCCTGTGATATAAGGTTTGTATTTCTGGACTTTTTTTTATCAGGACAAAGGAAATCAGCCCTTCCTGAGGTTTAAACAAAACTTCGAATCAGAGTTTCAGTCCTGGGAATTTCACACAGATACTTACTGGAAACGAACAAGTTCTGATCCTGTTTCCTATGAAAAGTACCTTCAGGAAACCGAGTCTCAGGGTGTGATGAAACTTTTGAAGACAGAGGGTTTTTTCTTTGTTTGTCTTTTAGTTTTGCAACCCCATCAAAAAAATATTTCTGTAGACCCCCCACCCACCCAAGCTGTCCAACCGACTAATCCGTGTCTCCACTACTGAGCAGAATATAAACAGAATAAAACAAAACCACAAACCGAGATGTGACACTAAAGACTATAGAACAATAATAGAGTGTGAAACATCCTTTAAGGACAGGATAGGATATACTACAGTACTATGGTTCAGTACGACACATGAGGACACAGGATGAAATATGACTCAGTAAGATATCGTGCGGCACAGAGAATATTATACGATAATACGACAAGATAGCCTATCATTGTAAGAGATACGATACCCCACAAGACAATATGTTACTATGCAATAATAGAGCGTGGTACAGTAGGTTAGGGAACGCCATCATAAGGTACATTTAACATGGTATAGTACCATATTCTTTGAGATCCCTAACCCTAACCTGATACGATACGGTGAAATAGAGTACAGTACAATACTGTAGAATATGAAACATTATAAAAAAGTACAGTATGTTAGTGTAGAATATGATACAGTATAACAGAATACAGAATAATACTGTATAATATGATACAGTATAGTAAAGAAAGAATAAGAATAACTTTATTCATCTCCAAAGGGAAATTCAGTTGTCCTTCGTCTCATTTGACATCTCTCTAAAAGTCATCTACTATTTACAGAAGAATTATACAATAATTTACAGCAAACAATAACTAATAATAACAATAATTAATAATTAACAAACAATAGTTTACAGTAAGATACTGTTTGATATGATACAGTTTACTAGAGTACAGTATAATACTGTTTGATTTGATATGGTATAATAGAGTACAGTTCGATACTGTAGAATATGATTTGATATAATACAGTACAGTTCAATACCCTAGGATATGATACAGTATACTAGAGTACAGTAGTACAGTAGGATACTGTATGATATCATACGTTATAATGCAGTACAGCATGATACTGTAGAATACGGTATCATGGAGTACAATACAACTTTTAGTATATACAAATATACGTTATGTTACAATTTGATAAGATATGATTCGGTGCCAAACACTGCACTAGGATTTGTTATGATGTGTTACGCTACAATATAATAAGTCATGACGTTGTATGTCTCGATATGTTACGCAACAATACTGTATCCTATCAAACTGTTTGTTAGGATACAATCTGATAAGCTAGGGTATGAAACTGTATGACATGATACAATTCAGTTTCATCAGTTTCATAATAAGATCATTCATGGTTCCTTCAGGTCACGAACAATTAATCCTACTCAATACTAAATGTGTTAAATATTCAGGGATGAAATATGTGGAGAGCAAGTTGTCAAGATATTCTCATCACAGTACAAGAGTTCAGCCTTTTGGACACTGAAAACTCGGGCTTTCACATCTATAGCTAATCAATGATCTGCTTCAGCCTTTTACTGAATTCGATTTTACTGAATTAGACTTTCCATCTTTGCTGGTTTTCAAAACCTGAAATCTCAGATGATAGGAAGTTGATGTGTAAGTATACTAATGTTGCTGCAGCTGCGGCCTCACCTGATGCATGTCTAGTTCCATGATTTATTAAATCCACCAAATGGGATCTTGGTTTAGAAAATAAATGCCACGCTGAGCCGAAGAAGACTTGGACTAACAAACGACGGGATTTACTTCTGCTTCTAAAGTTGTAAATGAGGTAAGAAGAAGAAGCCTCTTTTATCTTAGCTTTCTCTAATCAGACCTCATGTTACTTATATTGGATTTAGCCCCCTGCTGGCCATCAAACAGAATGCAGGTTTGGGGTAAATATCCACTTTTTACAGTCTGAGTTCACCTTCAGGGTTTAAATATAACTTCCCTCAGAGATCGTCACTGAGTCCTGACGTCACACCAATATGAAGTTTGAAGCAGCTGGAGGAAACTCTGAGTCAGACGTAAACCTAAAGAGTAGAAGAAGAAGAAGAAAGGTCAAAGTTCTGCTCTTGTTTAGGTTAAATGGAGGTTTAAGTAAACAGGAGGCTCGCCGTCACTAACGTTTGATTACAGACGCCGCAGCTCTGTGGTAAACACACGGCCGTTTCAGTAGGTCAGTGAACGCCTCGCTGTCTGTCTGCTGATCTCCTCCAAGTGTGGTCATGGCCTCTCGGACCTTCTTCTTCTACTCTTTTATGGACTGGTTTTGCAGATTTAATTCAATCTTTATTTCAACTGGTCTAGATCAAACTCGTCATGAGATTTACAGGAAGACTCGACATAAAGACGGGATAAGATTGAGCTCCATCGAGCTATCTCCCTCAGGCCAAACGAGTCGATCCAGAAACTGCTAAGTTCAAGGAAGTCCAGGACTTGTTGGGAGAGACTCACCCGGGTTTTCAGGATCCTTGAGAGAGAAATCCAGGGAGAGGTAAACATGGTCTGAATGAGGAGATGCAGAAATCTGCTGGAGATGAATCAGAGAACAAAAGCAGAGGCAGACTTTGAAGGGGGATCAGTTTAATCTGTCCTCAAAGGTCAGAGTGAAGTTTTCTGACTTCAGCTCTTTGTTTTATTTAGTTTGGATTTATTTTGAAGAAAACTTCCAAAGCTTCAGTCTGCTGCTCAGCTGCCTCTTTAAATAGACACTCTGACTTTTCCAGACGCTTTTCATCTGTTAAAGCTGTTTTCATTGCTGAAACACTGACAGATCCGCCCGCTGGACTCAAGGATCCTTGAACAAGTTCCAGGAGGGCTGGAAGGACGGGAATCTCCCAAGGGTCAGTGAGAAGATTTCAGGACTGCTTTAAGGAGGTTTCCTGACTTTGGAGAAAGTTATTCCTGCGGTGAAGTTCAGGAGCAGAGCTGCGTCTGAACATAATAACACGTCTGACCCCCTTTTGTTTTTTCCAGTTTCCTTTTCTATAATTGTTGATTCGAGTTCTGAACTTTCCTCTCCCTCATTACAACACTGAACATGTTCATCGGATGCAGGTAGATTACAGGCGTGAGTCGTTCTCCAGGTGTGGGTTTTTTTAATGCCACGTCCTCAGAAAGGTGATGATTATATTTCCTGTACGGACAGGTTTCCATATTTTATGTAGGTGTTTTTATCTCACAGCGCTCAGGAGTATGTGGGTTGGAGGATCTGCTAGATCAGGGATCGGGACCAGGTCACATGACTGCAGTTAGAGCTGATAAACAGAAACAAGACCTAGGACTGAAGTCAACCAAAGACATTCTTGGTTGACTAAAAACATGAAATTTTCTACCAAAAATCGACTAATCGGGGGGATTCCGACTCTGAAGGCAAACCCTTCTGCGGCGCAGGACGACGCAGCTCGACGGGATGAAAATATACAGATTTCATTACAAGAAGACAATTAAACACAAATGTTATATTCAGCAAACCAGCAGACTTTGATGAATGTGGATGCTCTTCGATCTTCTGGTCTCCAGCCTGTCTCCACTGGGTTGGTCTATTTCCAAAATGGTGAAAACAAGGGGGTGTTCTGAGACAGACTGTTATGTGTAAAATGGGGGTGCTCTGAAAACATCCCCATTAGCACTTGGTACGTTCCTCCTGATGAACTTACCCCCAATTTCCAACGCATCTGGAACGTCTATGAAAAGGCCGTGTCCTCCGATCGTAGCTGATCGCAACCATTCAAGTTAACGTGTCAATTTCTATCGGCTTCTTTCCGTCCTGCTGCAGATCGCCGGACTCCTCAGCTGATCACAAGAGTTCTATTTTTTCTGGATGCCGGAGCATGCCGGATAAATTCAGCCTTACCCCCAAATTTTACAGAATCCAATGCAGCTGATTGTTTCCATTCAAGTTAATGAGGACTTTACAGCCCTCTGAAAAACGCTTAAGTCTTTAGGACCTTTAGATAAACTGGTTTTCAGTTCAAACTGGTACAAAGACCGGATCGCTACTAGCAGACAGACTCTGTGATATCAAGGGCTCTATTTTCATGCCTTGCCGGTGTCATGGCGTAGGCACGGCGTAAGTCAGGCACGCTGCGCCAATGAGGTGTGGCCAAACACACTTTGGTATTTTGGTAAGTGGCGCAGCCTGGTGTAAGTATCCTCCCTCCCCTACTCAGCTCCATCCTGCGGCGTAAGTAGCAGAGAGGAAGGGGATACGGAAATGTGCCCGACACTGTGGAAACCTTCCGGTGAGGCATCGGTGACATGTGCACACTACACTGCCAATCTGCCAAAATAAGACCAGCTGTGCTCCAGCTGTGCTGAAGGCTGACCAGGTTTGAATCGCCGAGCTTTCTGCACACTTTCCACGCTGCTGGCGGGCATGAAAATGTCACTCAGCTGATTCTGTTGACACCTTACCGCGCCATCATGCCCAGCTTGGAGGATCTCGGTGCGCCTCAGTCTACAAAAATACCAAACTGGCTGTGTGCCGGGCTCTACTAGACGAAAATACCACTGCACGGGGTGCACCACCCTCCACTGTGCTGCCGGTGGGCACGAAAATAGAGCCCCAAGAGTTTAAAACATATGAGCTGGCACTGAAGCCCCGCCCATCAAAAGTGCAGGTGCTTTAGACCGACCCAGCATTAATCCACCAAGAGGAAGCACTGGAGTCCAGGGCGAGACAAAAACTTCCTCATGTGTCCATATTTTTATCAGTTTTGATAAAAACTCCCTTTCTTTGTTCAGACTGACCTTCACTCACCAGAAACCCTGAAATCCCCCAGACTCAAACATCGCTCTCTCTGGATGTCGACCTCCAGACGGGATGAGTCCTCACATCCTCTCTCAGCTGTTCAGGAACAGGGAGTTGTCAAACTGTTGTCAAGGAAACCATAAATCAGAGTGTGTTTCCGTGGAGACAGGATAGAGCGGCGGTTATCAGCTGACTTATGTCCTGAAATGAAGTCTAATAATCGGAGAGGAAGCTGGACCTCCATCATCACCAGAAACTGGAGGTGGCTGAACTCTGGTCACACTGCAGACGTGTTCAAACTGCTCACGGTGGAGAGGAGCGTTCAGACCCACAAAGAGACGGTTTTCCCGATCATCGGTCAGTCTTGAGTTGCTACAGACGCAGGGTGCAAACCTCAGCGCAGATCCCTCACAAGATACATCAACAAGAGCGTGATCCAGGTGCAACCACAACCTCTGCAAATGTCACTCAGTGTCATTCGGTGAAGTTTAGTAGAATGATGTAAAACGCCATGATTTCCCAGACAAAAGCAACCGATCACAGATGCATCA